AAGAAATTAGTTTAAAAATAAAAAAAATTTAGAGGATTTAAAAAACTTAAAAGATTTTTGTTATTCCCATTTCTTTATGTAAATAAATATCTGGACAAAAAGGATTAAGGTGATTTATTTAAGCCAACTGAAAAACCAAAAAAGAAAAGTAAACATTAAATTTATAATTAGGACCTGCAAGACCAAAAGTAATTAAAAAAACCAGGGTTAGTCCTAAAATATGAAAATTATTTGTATACCAATCTATTTCATATTTATAAATAATAAAAATATGATAATTAAAAGTTTTATACTTCAAAAATAGAAATTTGAATATTTTTTTAATTTCAAAATTATTTCTCATTCTTTTGCTTGATTAACTTTTTTTGAAACTATTTATTTTTGTCTCGTAATTTCAATATTTTTGTTTTATTAGATAAAAAGGATCCATATTATTTTGTTAAAAAGTCTTATCATATGCTTATTCATTATCTATTTCATATCAAATAAAGAAATTGAATAATTCTAATTCTGATAATTACTATAATTCTTCTTTAAAAATGATTATAAATTAGTTAAAAAATTATGTTAGAAATCATTTTTAATTTTTTTAAATTCATAAATTAAAATTAAAATTAATTAATCACTCTAGTTAGTTTTCTCATTTTGGTTATAAATTAAAGGATTATTTTTTTAAGCATTTTAAAAAGTTCGATATTGACTCTATATTAGGTCTTTCATTATTTTGAGGTATAAGACCTACAATATTAATTATAATACATTTAAAAATTAAGATATTCAATTTAAATAATATTAATCTAGGACCATTGAGGGCATTTAAACCTTTTGAATCATCTAATCTAAGATCGAAGTCTTTAAATAATGATAAGTATTTTTCTTTATTTAGAATAGGCTTACTATTTATATAAATTTTTTACTATTGGTAGTTTTCCAAATATTAATTCATAGGCTAGAGTACCAAAAGAATAAACATCTGCTTTTTCTGATAAAAATTAAGTTTTATGTTTTAGAAGTTCTGGTGCACCATAGGGTACCGAGAATTTGATGCAATCTCTTTGTAATTGATAATTAGGATGATAAGCTTCACCAAAATCACAAATTTTAGCATTACCATTTTTACTTATCTTAACATTATATTATAATTAATACCAAAATATTATCTGCCTTTATATCTAAATGTAAAATTTGATGCTAATGTAAATGTTAAATACCCTCAGCTATCTATGTTAATATTTATAATTTTCTTCTTAATGAAATGACAAATTAATATTTTTTTATATAATCTCTTAAACTTTTGAAATGATAATACTTTAATAAATAATAATTATTAATATTTTCTTTTATGTAAATCTAAGCAACATATTTTGAATAACCTTTTGATAAAAATCTATTTATAAATTCGATTTCCTTTCTTAATTTATTACTAGATTAATTTTTAACAGCTAATTCTAATATTTTATTATTTCCAATGTTTATGCCAACTTTATAAATTTTATGAAATCCACCTTAATCTACCAAATTTGTTTCATTTAATCCAGAAATTTTGCTATTAATTTCATAGTCTAATTTTTCTACTTAATTTTTTTTTTTTTTCTGTTTTTTATTCGAACAGAATTAATACTAATCACCAAGATCTTATACAGCACTTTAAAACTATTAATCAAGTTATTATGATTTTTTAGAAAATTCTTTTGACTATTCATTATCCAATTCAGGGTTGATATAACCTTATGAATTGTCATTATCCTCTCTTGCTAATAATTCTGAATGAGTAAATTTTTCTAAATAAGATTACTATTAAGATTTTTAAGATATTCTAAAATATTAATCATTAAGATTAGTATTACAAAATTAAATTTTGTATTTTAATGGGAAAATGAATTTATTAACTATTATATGAAATCGTTTGATTGCATTTTCAATTATACTCTGAATTTGATTTATTTTTTTTGTAAGTTTCAATTATTTAATTTCATAAATAATCTATGATACTTAACTTAAATAAACAAAAGATCCTATTTTCAATTAAAGATTTTGATTTAAGCATATATTATTTATAGTAAATGTTTAGTCTTTTTTAAATAAATTATATACCTTATATAACAAGTGAATTCGATTAATTCACTAATATGCTCATTTAAATATAGATTATATCGTCACTATCATTTTTAGAGGCTAATATTAAATAATTTTTAATTTCTTTTGAATTTTCAAAAGGTAAATCAATATTTGAGAAATCAGTCCTCCATTGACAAACCTTCGTATCGTTTTTTTAAATTGATAAGAAAAATTCCATTAATTTTTTAAAATCATTTTTAATAATTTGGTATGTTTCCATTTACCTTGATTCATCTTACATTAAACTTGAATCTTAATTCTATATAGATTATGAAAAAGACATTTATAATTAACTTGAATGTTATTATTCTTGGTTCTCTATGTCTTATTTGATATTTTGCTAGTTATTATTGACAATTAATTAATGATCTTAATTAATATTTTGCTAGTTATTGTTTTCAATTAATTCATGATTTTAATTAATATTTTGTTAGTTATTATTGTCAATTAATTAATGATCTTAATTTATATTTTGTTAGTTATTATAGTCAATTAATTCATGATCTTAATTAATATTTTGCTAGTTATTATTTTCAATTAATTCATGATCTTATTGGTTATTTACTTCTATATTATCTATTTTTTGTGTATCAGTTTCAAAATTAGTTTCTTAATCCTCTTAAATTTCTTCTTGATATAACTAAAAAAAAATATCTTATTATTCCACTTTATCATTCAATTAATTAGGGGCATTATTTAAATTGTAACCTTAATTAACGTGATCATTAGTTTGTTCCATTTTAGAAATTGATGGTTAGCTCATAAAAATTTAATAAATATAAAAAATATTTTAATTTTAGAGTAAAATTTTTATTAAAATCTTTGATCAATTATTATCTTTTATTGAGAAAGGGAGATTAGATAAATTAATTTTATATTTTTTCCTCTCTCAAATATAGAATTCCTTTAATAGTTATTATGATAATAATAATATCTATGAATTTGTATATTCAAATTATTTCCTCTTCTATAAAATGAACCTGATGATCTAATATAGCTATACTATTTTCTTAGGTTTCTTGAGTACTCTTTATAGATAAATAATGTTTATTGCTATGCTTTAAGAATTAAATATCAATTAATGAACCAAGTTTTTCTTAAAATAGTGTGACTTGTTTGTTTTAATCTATTCTAAAAATCTAAATTTTATTATAATTTAATTAGAATGCAAATAATTATCGACTTATCAAATGAGCTTTAATGGCTTATTTGCTTATCTCTTAATCTCCAAATATTTTTTCAAAATATGGTTGTTCATTTAATAATTCTTTCTATTTTATTTAATAAACTTCATAATATTAATTTTCCTAATGAAAGAATTAATTTTTTACTTACATGTTCATCAAATCTTTTAAAAAGCATAACAATATATTCACCATCTTATATTATTTGCTTTAAAAATCCTTCAAATGGAACCCAAACCCATAGTAATTCATCAATATTATTAGCATTGTAAACTTTAATTTTACAATAAGAATCTCCTAAAATGATAACTTTTTGATCATTAATTTCTAAATATTTAAAGCATTTAGGAATGGCAAGATTAGTTTAAATTGGTGTTTACTCTTTTGTAATTGATTATATTCCTTCCTATCCTAATTGAAATTACCACATGTCTCCATGTTTATCGCAAACATAAACAGTATCATTGCTTTCATTAACAGTGATTCTCTTAACCTTTTTGAGAAGCTTTAGAGTGTAAGTCAATTAAAGGTTTTTATAAACTTTGACTGTCTTATCCAAACATGCCACAATAATAAAATCCTTATAAGTTATGACTTCTCTTCCCTTTATGTCTATGATTTCATTTTATAAATCTTTCTAAAAAACAGCAATATTATCAGACAATCTTAATCCGAACATTAAATTTAATATACAATTTAATTATCAAAATTTAAAAAGAAAAAATAAAAAAATTCTTATTTAGAATCTCATAGTTTAGAGATACAAAATTTTGTATTTATTAGATAATTAAATTCTATATTATATTAATAAAAATGGGTTAGTGTATTACAAAAGAAGCAGATGAACAGAGAAGCATATAAAGAAACTCATAAAAACCTACAATATAACCATTGAATAGGACATATAGCTCTAAACTCTTAAATCCCAACATTACAGATTGTGTTATATTAGAAGAAGAGTCATATTTGTAATAAAGTTCTTTATACTCCATATATACAATTATGGAAGAAAACTAAGTTAAGAGATCAACTCTTGCTAATGCAGTATCTAAAGTGAAACCTTTAGGTAATGCTATTACATCAGGAATATCAGTTCAATTCATCAATATTAGTAATGGTAGAAAATTACATTCTCATGCTATTAAGTAAGACAAAGGCTTAAAGTAACATGAAGTAAGTCTATGTAATGAAATTGAAAAGAACGCTTATGATGAATGGTTAATATTAACTAATCATAATGAGCCTGTTAAAGATGGAGATGTAGTGGCAGTATTTAAATTATATATTTTCAGGTTCAACATAAAATTACAAAATGTATTCTCAGATCTAGTAATGACATATTGACTAAATCAAAATTATAATAAGTGTCTTGTGTTGATATCATATAAGATTTGACAGAAGATGATTATTGGATTATAGAGATTATTAATGACACTAAATAAATTAACAAATTGCATAGCAATAATTTAATTAGTAAAAATTTTAAATTTTACTTAAATAAGGAATTAAACATGCTCACACCAACACATATTTATCTGGAACCAAAAATAAAGCTGTACTTAAAGGCCACATGGAAGTTTGTGTTACCTAATAACCAGGTCATGACATATGGGTTGTAGAAGATACATTTTGATAGTAAAAATTACTATTTCTTTTTTATTTATTTATATTATTGGATATATATATTAATTTTATTTTATGAAAATATAGCACCTTCTCATTCAATTGTTAATATTTACAACTGTCTAAACAATTTGTATTTAGCTTTTATTTGATCCTTGGTCATAAGAAAGATTTGAAAGAATGTCAAGAGAAAATGCAAGATTATTTAATCCATTATTATAAATATTGAATAGAATTGATTTCATAAGAGAAGCAATATCTATTTTAGGAATTTTGAGTTCCTTAATGTATTTATTCGGGTATAAAATATCTAACTATATGAAGATCAAAGTTCTTTGGGCAAATGACTATATTATGGCTAGTTTTTTATTGGGTAATATTCTTTAATTTCAATATCTTAAGAAGTGAAAGATTTTTTGCTTATGTATTACCTGGAACATTTGGAATATGTGCATTTTCAAATACACTTCTAAAAACATTATGATAAATTAATATATAACGTTAAAATAATTAGAAATATTTTTAAATTTTATGATCCCTCGCAAGTCATCCATGTCAAAGAAAACTATTGGTTAACCTAAATTCATTTTAAAAGACGACAATACTTTGGATTCATCATATTTGGAGATGTATCAATAAAATAAAAATCATAATTCTGGTTAAAGATTACAATAAATACTACAAAAATAAATAAATCAATCATAAAAGAATAAATCTGTTGAAGAAGATAGATTAACAAGATAATAATTTATTAATAGAAGTTAATAAGTAGTACGTTAAGATTTAGGATCATATACTCCTTAAAATATTTCTTATGAAGATGTAGATTTAAGAGAAGAGAATAAATAGTTAAAATGTATTCTAATATTAAATTATTATAGAATAAATAAGAAAATTACAATTAGAATTGCAATAGAGTAAACATTAAAATTAATTATTGATTCAAGATTTCGAATAATTAAGAGATCAATTAGAAAAATAATCAGAAGAATTTAATTAAGCTTTCGAATTGATAAATGATGAAAAATTATTAATTCAATAAGAAATTGATTAAAAAGATTAAATAATTGCTTAATTAAGATAATAATTAGCTCCTCCAAGTAAAACATAAATGCAGATAGATGAAATCAAAAACAGAATCTTAGCTCGTAAATCTGTTCATCGAAGTTCTAGAGAAAATATCACACAATTAATGAATGATATGGACTAATCTGCTAGATAAGATCTTAAAGAGAATTTGATGGATTATAATAATAGAATAATACTATAGAAATCAATTAAATGAATTAATTAATTAATATCAATCTATATATAATTATAAATACACCATTTTTGTTATTTATTGTAAATTAATATAAAAATAATCAATTGATTTTAAAGAGTCTAATGTTCAAGCTTTATCTTTTAGTAAAATTCCCATTACTTATTTTTCACTCATCTATAAAACTAATTAATATTAATGTATTTCGCCATATAATTTGATAGCCAATGTTTTTGGACGAGGAATTTCATTAAAAATAGTAGGTTAATTCATATCAATATATCCAATACATTTTTATTAATCACATTGAACAGAAAACAATTTCCATTCTTTGTTTATTTCTTTATTCATCCATGGATTTAAATCAGACAATCTAAATGTGAAATGTGTAATTAAAGGTAATACTTATACATCTAAATTTTGTTATCTTAATTTTGACATAAATTATGGAGATTAATTATCATCAAATTCTGGAATAGTAAATTCTAAATATGTTTCTTCTATTTTCATCATTAATATTTATTAATCTTAATTTATAAGATTATCTTTTATTATAATTTCCAATCTCTCAAGTTCTTTTGACCAAAATAGATAATTAGATAAATTAAATCTACTATTAATATGAAATTTTAATAATGAAATTTTTCCACTACAATAATGCAGTTCCTGTAAACCTAATGTCTTCCTTAGATTTTTAGTATTTTATGGGATTCCTGCAAAATTGCCATCTTCATCCAGAATACAATCTTATTAAATGATTGTTTTGATATTTTTTTTATTCAATGCTTCTTTTAAAACACAAAATAATCCAAAATCATTTACATATTTGCCAGCACATAATGCATTTTATATTAACAACTCATTTGATTACTATAATTCTTAAAAATCTAAAGGTTCCATAGTTTTTAAATAGAAACCCAAATCTTTATGAAATTTTTAACCTAATAATAAAATTCCTTTTTTAATGGTTTTTATTTTATTTGTTGGTGGTACTTTGGGAGTTTTAAGATTTTCCTCATTCTATTTATCTAAAGGGGCTAAATCTTTTAAAAGATGATTGGTAATGATTCTTTCTTTCTGAGATTGAGAGGCCTCTATATTTTTTGGGAGCTCCATAGTAAATTGTTTACTCTATTATTCTAAGAAATTATAAAGTGAATAGGAAACTTTTTGATTCTTCCAATAGTTTGGACTGATGAACAGAAATACTCATCTTTCGTTTGCTGATCTCAAGTGAATTTAATATTTGTTGGAATTAATCATTCTCATCACTTTATGACATAATTATTATATAATCATTTTTATAATGGTATACCTTATATTAAAAAATGACTTCTACTTCTTTAGGTAATAAACAAATTAAATCTCTAAATTTAATTTCTTGAAGTTAAGAAAGAATCAAAAATTATATGCTATTCCTTATAAAATTTGAAAATTAAATAGATTATCAAATGATATTCTTCTTAAGTGTATTTATTTCTTAAATTCATTTTCTTTTCTGAATTAATTCCCAAATTTTTCATACTTCATTAAAGTTGTTTTTGAATTCATAAGAATTTAATTGAATCAATTATTTCCTCTTCTTATTATAAAGTATTCTTTTTAATACAACTTGTGTAAATTAAGATTAGTTTTAACGTATTGATATTATATATTTACATGGTCTACACAATTTAATAATTTATCTTTATTTAAAAATAGTATAAATCTACAATCAAAGATATTCGAATTTAATTATGTTCTAAATTTCTTTCAAAATTATCTATATATTTATATATTATCTTCTAATCCTTAACCTTCTTAAATTATTAATAATATGAATACTAATAATCATATGTTATCATATTTATATATGAATATTTAGTATGATTCATATTTTTAAATTCTTAAGAAATTATGATAACTTTTGAAATAAAATTAAATACTAATTTAGATATATAAATTCTTAAGATTATAAGATTTTAGGAATTCTTTTTGTATCAAAATTAGACACAATAAATTATTAAAATTGAATTTGATCTTTTTTATTTTAAATTTAAATCCAATATAATAAAAAGATTAGGATTGGAGAAATAAAATTTTGTTATCTTTCTTTTAATCTAATAATGATAAAATTAATTGAAAAAATTTGATGTGAATTATATTTTTATTAATTTATATTAATTAATACTGTCATTTTTGTATTATTTAATATTTATAGAAGTTTGATCTAATTTTATTTTCATTAACAGTATTTAAACAAATAAAGTACAGAATTACTGCTTTTATCAAATGTTTAATTTCCTGAATCTCTTCTTCGAAGTATTGGTGATTTATTGGATGCTACCGAACTCATATATGATTAAACTACTCCTTTTCTAATTTAAGAATGATCTAATTGATATTCTATTGAGGCTTTATCATTTTTCTTAACTGTAGATTAATATTATTAATAAGGATTGATTTATTTAGGTGAATTGATTTTTGTACAACTAGATTTTTGAGATTTACTATTAGGCTTGATGTTATCTAGAAACCATGGATGCAAGAGAATCTAAATATAATTGAAATATACTTCTGCTGCAGAAATGCGATTTTCTGGATCGAATTATAACATTTAATATAATAGATCTTGTAAATAGTGATCATTAATAGAATTGAAATTAATTTTGCATTACATAATCAATTGAAATAATTCTTTATCATTTGAACCTTTAAATGGGAAATAACCTTGAGTTAAATAATATATAACAATCCCAAAAGCCCAAATATCAGCAGGTGGTCCTTTATAATATTATTTACTAACAATTTCTGGAGCCATATAACTAGGAGTTCCACAATATATCTTTTTTTTGATGGAATTGGAAAAGAGAGTAGAAAAACCAAAATCAATTAATTTGACTTATCCATCAGAATAAAGTATATTTTCAATTTTGATATCTCTATGAGTAATTTGTCGAGCATGTAAATAATTTAATGCTGATGCTATCTAATATAAAGCTTATTTTAAATTATATCCTTTTAAATTATTTAATTATTTTCCATCTATATATTCCAAGAGTAAATTGATATGATTATTAGTTTCAATTACATTATAAATATTAATAATATTAGGATGTTTGATCATTTGAAGTATGCGAATTTCACGAAGTATAGACTTTTAACGACTTGTAGAAATATTAGATTTATTGTAAATTTTAAGTGCATAAGATTTAAGTGTTAATTTATCTGCACATAATCTAACACTAGCATATGAACCTGAACCTATTTATTTTCCTACCATATATATTTCTTTAAATGCTACTGTTCTATCTATTATAGATTCTTTAAATAGTTTAAAAGTTAAATCTTATGTATTGATTTTCCATAGTGTTTCATCAAAAAGGGGATCCAATGTCTTTAACTTTGGTTATTTTGGTATTTGATAATTTTCAATTATTGTAAGTTAAGATGAGTTGTCATGGTATCGATTTGAAATTTTGCTATCTCTTCTTCTAGTTATAACCTCTTTGATAACAAAATATGTACAACCTGTTAATTTAAGTTCTCTTTATTCTGTGGTGAAATAGATCTCCTTGAGAATTATTTCCAAAGCATACTTTCTGTTAATGATTAAATAATTTATATAATACAATATATATATATGTATATATCATCTCAAATATTATGATTGTAAAGCAAAATAAATTTATTAGTGGTGCTAAATTTAATGCTAAGAACACTAAGATAGTTTAGTTCAATTTTCCATAGAGTTCCTTTAAGATCATTTTCAGGTGCAGTTGAAGTTACTCCTAAAGATGTACTAATATATATAGATAGCTTTATAGGATATATTAAAAATTTTGCATTCAGAATCTAGAGACATTTTTAGAAATGTGGCCATCATAGCACATGTTGACCATGGGAAAACAGTAAATTATTGATTCTATTTTAAAAAAGACTCTTGTTGATGCTTTATTAAGAGCTAGTGGTTGTGCAAATGAATATGATTCAATGGATAGCAATGCATTAGAAAAAGAAAAAGGAATTACTATTCTATCTAAAGTGACTGGTGTTACTTTTGGAGGAAATAAAATAAATATTGTAGATACACCAGGACATTAAGATTTTGGAGGAGAAGTAGAAAGAATTATGTCAATGGTTGATGGTGTATGTTTATTGGTTTGTGCAACTGAAGGACCTATGGCTTAAACTAGATTTGTTTTATAAAAGGCATTATAATCAAATTTAAAACCAATTGTTATCATTAATAAAGTAGATAGACCATCCGCTAGACCTGTAGAAGTTGAACATGAAATTTTCAATTTATTTTGTGATTTAGAAGCTCCAAGTGAATCACTTGATTATCCTTTATATTTTTGTTCTGGTAAAGAAGGTTGGGTTAGAAAAGGTTCTATGGAAGCAGAAAAATAAGGATTAGAAGATGTATTGGAAACTATTGTAGAAACAATCCCACCTCCATAAATTGGTACAGAAAGCAGTTTTAAAATGTTGGTTTCATAATAAGAAAGTCATCCATACTATGGTAAAATAGTTATAGGTAAAATACATCAAGGTGAAATTAAACTTAATGATAAAATATTAGCAGTTGATTAATAAGGAAAATTGGTTGAAACTGCTAAAGTATTGAAAATTTTAAGAAGATATGGAATGTAACAATTAGAAATGGCAAGAGCTGTTGCTGGAGATATAGTTTAAGTAGCTGGATTTACTAATGCAATTGTTACTAATACTTTAAATGAAATGGGAAAAAATGATGTGATTCCATCAATACCTATAGATCCTCCTATGATTTCAGTATCTATTGGTGTTAATACTGGTCCTTTGGCAGGAAAAGAAGGAACAAAACTCAATGCTTAATAAATTAAAGAAAGATTAATGAGAGAAGGATAAAGTGATGTTGCATTATAAGTTATGGTTAAAGATAAATCAGATGACAGTGCTTGTGTATAATTGTTAGGTAGAGGAGATCTCCATTTAGCCATATTACTTGAAAATATGAGAAGAGAAGGATTTGAAATGTAAGTATCACCACCATAAATTGTTACTAAGAAATGTCCAGATACTGGCAAAACATTAGAACCAATGGAAAAGGTGACTATTGAAATTGATTAACAATATATGACTGGTTTAATTGATAAAATGTCATAAAGAAAAGCTATTTATGAGGATTGCATTAATATCGATAAAACTAGAGTTAAATTAATATTCTCAGCACCAACTAGAGGTTTAGTAGGTTTAAGAGCAGAATTAATTAATGACACTAGAGGAACAGCTATTATGTAACAACAATTCCTAGGATATTAAGAATATAGAGGAACTTTGAAAAAGAATTTAAAGGGTGCCATTATTTCTATGGCTGCAGGAGTATGTTAAGGTTATGCTCTTGAAGATATATAAAAGTTTGGACCATTATTTGTTAAACCAGGATCTAAAGTTTATGTTGGTTAAGTTATTGGAGAACATAAATTAGAATAAGATATTGAAGTTAATCCTATTAGAGAAAAGAAATTAACTAATGTTAGAACAGTATTAGCTGATGAAAAGATAAGTTTATTTCCTCCCAAAGTCTTTACTTTAGAAGATGTAATTGCTTATATTAGAGATGATGAATTAGTTGAAGTTACTCCAAAAGATCTCAGAATTAGAAAGAAAGAATTAGATTCAACTCTTAGAAAAACTCAGCGTAAAAACCAATCAAAATGATTAATAATGCGTATTATAATTAAATTTTAAATAAAATGGGTATTTGTGCATCGAAAAAATAGAAAGATGATTTGGCTTTAAAACCAAAGCACTGGCCTAGTAGTCCAGGTAGAAGACACACTGGAAATAGTTTTAAATATGGAACTGATCTTTACATCAATTTAAAAAATGGTTAGATTGATAATTTTTACATTTTGGGTGACGTTCTTGGAGTTGGAGCATTTGGATAAGTTGTCAAAGCTACTCATAAACAAACTGGATATGTGAGAGCATTGAAAACTTTGGCAAAAAAAAAAATAATTAATGAAGAAAAAGAAAAAATGTTTGCAGAAGTCAATATTCTTCGTAAATTAGACCATCCAAACATAGTAAAACTTTTTGAAATATTCGAGGATGCTTAAAATTATTATTTAATTACTGAGTATTGAAATATTTTAATTGTTAGACTTATTTAAGGAGGTGAACTTATAAAAAAAATACAGGCATAAAATACATTTTCTGAAGCAGAAGCTGCATACTATATGAGATAACTATTATCTGCCTTGCAATATTGTCATAAAGCAAAGATAGTTCATCGTGATTTAAAATTAGATAACCTTATGCTTAATGTAGAATCAGAGAAACCAATTTTAAAAGTTATAGATTTTGGTACATCTCGTAAGATTATCCAAGAAAAATATCTGACCTCTAAATTAGGAACAGTACTAATATATTCTAATTGTTTTATAGCCTCATTACACTGCCCCAGAAGTATTTAAATAATAGTACACAGAAAAATGTGACATTTGGTCCTGTGGTGTTATCCTTTATACATTATTGTGTGGATATCTTCCCTTCAATGGAAGTGATGCAAGAGCCACATAGATATTGATAGAATGTGATAGATGGACCTTTGATAAGAATGACTGGGCTAAGATTTCTTCAGAAGCCAAAAGATTTGTTAAAAAACTTATGACATATAATCCAGATAAAAGAATATCAGCAGAGGAAGCATATTTAGATCCTTGGCTATAAGGACATATAAATAATATAATAGATTCAAGAGCTTTAAATCGCTTATAACAATTTTATGTAATTAATTTGAAATCTATTTTTAGTAATCTCATGTAATATAAGAATTAATTAAATAATATATAACTTTTTAGGTTCTAACACCTGAAGATAAGGCAAAAATTTTAGGAAATTTTTAATCTTTAGATAAGGATGGAGATGGTAGAATAAATAGAGAAGATTTAATATATGGTTTGAAGTAATCAAAACTAGACGAGACTGAGATTGAGAAATAAATAGATAGAATAATGGAATAATGTGATTTTAATAAAACTGGATCTATTGAATACAATGCATTTCTTAGAATAATGATAGGATAAGAATTATCAGAAAAAACAAATTTATTGGAAGAAGCTTTTAGATAGTTTGATATTGATAAAGATGGTTTGATAAAAAAATAAAATTTAGAGGATGTTTTAGGAGGAATAATAATAGATGAAACTCATTGGGAAGAAATACTCAAAAAATGTGATTCTGATTAAAAAGGTATGATTGACAAAGAGAATTTTATAAAACTAATGTAATAATTTTGATTTAATCAATTTACTAAAGTATAAAAATATAATTAGTTATTATTTAAAATATATATTAATCTTTATGATCATCATAAAAAGTATCAAAAATGATTTAGCCAGATTCTGATACTTTTAAAAAAAAATAAGTATATTATACTTTCAATAATTTTAACTAAATTTCTTCAAATTTTAATTAATGATTTAAGATTATGAATTTTTATAAAGAGTATAATGATTTATTGTACTCTTTCTTATCTTGTTTATTAATTAACGATTTAAATTTGTAAACCATATTATTTGCATTTATAAACTTTCAATTTGGATAGACTTATTTAATTATTAAGGTTGATGTTTTTTAAAGAAAAAGTTAAAAGTATAATTAAAATGATTGAATATTATAATAATCAAAATAAAGTAAATAATAATTTAGAAACACTATTATAATTTATATTAATAAAACTAATATTGAAATTGATAAGTTTATGTTAATAAATGTGTTCGAAATGAATTGGCCAATATGAAGAGAACAAATCCTAAAGACTCTATTATTACGTAATATTAATACACTTAATTACATAATCTAAAGATTTGGCTAAAATTTAGTTGTATAAAAATATATTAAATAGCTGATTCTGAAAGAAATGCAAAAAGTTGGTAATAAATATATCTTTCATAATTAACAAAACTACAGTTCATTTTTTAATTTTGGAATCAGCCTTAGATAATGTAATTGAATATTTCTTTGAACTTGTCACAATAATTATTTTTTATAATATTATTCAAAGTAAGAAATTACAAGCATTAATTATGAGAAAAGACTTAATTCTTAATGAATTTAATTTGCTATTTCCATTAAGTAATACTTTATCATGAGTAAACACAGCCAAATATCGTTTAGCTGATATTATTAATATTATTATAAAGGTAGTTTCTGTAAATTGAGATGATTTTCTCTTTTTATTAAGTTATAGTCTTATATTCGATGGAGCAAATAGGAAAGTAGGATGTAGATTAATAGAATCTGAGTTATTAAAATATGCATTATGTATATTATGTTTATTTTCGTTATTTAAATTTGAATGAAGCAACCATTACAAAATCGATTAATAATTCATGATGCAAGGAGAAAGAATTTAAGTGCAATTGCTTTTTTAGATCCTTCACCAAAGTAAGTCACTATAAGGAAGGCATCTATAGGAGCATTCAAAAATAAAGAAAATATTAATATTAATGAAACACAAAAGAGTAAAACTCCTCAAAATGCTAATACAGAAGATATTAGAAAATAAATTAGTTAACTCATTAAAAGAACAACTCAATAATAAAGAACTAAATTAAAAAAAATAGACATTGTATGTGAGGAATAAATAGAAATAAATGATAATCAAGATAGCATTTTTGATGAACTTACTCTCAGATTTTTATATCAAAAGGAATAAGAATATCGAATAAATCCATCTTTTTTTGATCATTAAACAAATATAACTCCAATTATGAGATCTATCTTATTTGATTGGATTAGTGAAGTTTGCAAAGAATTCACTTTAAAAAGAGAAACCTTTCATCTTTGTGTACATAATTTAGATAGATATATGTCCAAAATTTAAATCTCAAAATAAGAACTTCAATTATTAGGTTTAGCAAGTTTATCTATTGCATGTAAAATAGAAGTATTGTATAAATATATATTAGGAAATCTATCCTCCAAAAATTAATGATTTCTCTTAAGCCAGTAATTATAGTTTTACAGAATAATAAATCCTTGAGAAAGAATAACATATGCTCACATAATTAAAATGGTTGATAAATCCTCCTACACTTTATCTTTGGAGCACTTGGTATTTGTCTTAATGGGATCTTTATTATCCTTAACCTAAATTTTAGATTAAATAACCAACATAGGCTTCATATACATTATTTAGACATTATATGGCATTTATTGATTGTGCAATTTTAGATATTAAATTATATTAATTTTCAAATAGAGAGATAGTAGCATCTCTACTTTATTTAGTTTTACTTAAATAATTTAGTGGAAGTACTTATTAAAGAATAGTTGATAATAAACTTTAAGAAAGAGATATATTAGATTTTCAAAATATTTATAAACCATTTATTGAATTAGTTTTTGGATTTTAATTCACTTAATTGGCTAGATGTATAAAATATTTAACAAAATTTTTAACTCTTGATATTATTGTTGATTAGCATGGATAATTCAAAGTTACTGCAGAAAAGGAATTAGAAGAAGCTTACGAGTATTTTCTATCAATTTAAACACATAATCAAGCTAATCTTTAATTCATTAGAAAATGATATATTTAATATACTTTAATAGTTGTTTATAATCAAATTATAATATAAATACTCATCAAAATTAGTATAAATATTCCAATTATTAGATGTAGTACATATTCTTATTATTATTTTGGTTTACTTTATTCAATTTCAAATTGAGGTTTCTTAATAAGAGAAAGAAAGGTTTTGATATCTGGTATAGGTTTACTAGGTCTACTGTCTAATATTTTCTTAATAAGTATTTCTTGTTCTTTAAGTTTATCTTAAGCTAAATTTTATTTATAAAAATTACATAAATATCCGAAATGACATACTTCTTTCTATTTTTTAAATAGATCTAAAAATTCTTCATTAAATTTTAATGAATCTAGACTACTTTATGTATGAAAATATGCTGACTATTTTATTTCATTTTATATTTTTAATATTTAAGGTTCTCCAATTTAAAGTATTTTTTCATTTATATTACAATTCTTTTATGTTGATTCAAGTTTTTCTTACATTTTTGTTGATATATCTTCTTCACTTTTAGATTCTGATAAAGATTAAGTATATTAAGAATGATATCTAAGATGTTCAAATCTTTTATTTGTAAATAATAGACTTGGTTATTGAGATCTAGATTTTTTCATTCTAACACTTTCTTCTTATAAATTCAATAAGGGTTATCGACATCTTTTAATAATAATTTTTTAAAGTTTATTGATTGCTAAACTCCAATGGTATCTTAAAACCATTAACTTAAATTAGGTTGAAGGTTTTTATTTCTATTTAATGTTTAATTAACAACAATTCATTTTATCTAATAGTATTCTGGCTTGAGATTTCATTATTACTTTAATATTATAAATGGATTTGGTAAATTAAGCATTTAAATAGTTATACATTCAAGATGAATGTTATGAAAATATTAAAGATAAAGTAGATTAATTCCCTTATGATGAAGTATATAGTCTAATGGAATTCTATGTTTAAAATTATTTAGATGTAATAATTTGTAAGCATTTAGAGAGTACAAAACAATTTATACTCATATAGTTATAATGATCATGATTCTGCAAAATTTTATATGGAGTAAGTTAATAGTCATTGGATGAGAATTTAAAATATCGCATTAGATTAGGAAAGTATTATCAAATGAGCAATAGTTTTAAGGTATTATTAATAATAATATATTAGATACTAGAATACCATAGACTAAAATTTTAAGATAGAATATTTTAAGATAATTAGATAAATTTAGCATTAAGAGATATATGTAGAATCTATAAATTTAATCAATCAATTGAACCTTACTTTTGTTCTCCAATATTTTAATACTTTAAACCAAAAATTACAAACCCACTAAGACTTGATGACTAATTGGCTTACTTATAGTTAATGTGAATAAGGAATAGATGAAATTGAGGATTTTGAAAAAAGATTAGAATGTGCAATGACAAATCTCCCTGATTATGAAAAATAATAACCAAAATTACCTTCAAATTGGGAAAAAAATATAATTAATCTAATGAAGAAAAAAAAGAAAAAATTATGATTTCTATTTATCTTTCATTTAATTTTAATCAACTAAATTTGTTATTTATGTGTATTTATGTAAAAATATTTATAAAAAAGCATTTTTAATAATGTCTAATTTATCCCTCAAATTTATATATAAAAATACTAAATATTCTAGAAGACACCTCTAACTTTAACAATAGATAGATACCATAATCAGTTTAATAAATATATCGATTGATTATTCAACTAAAATATCATTTTTTATCCTTAGAATTTGTCAATATCAAAGTTACCATTTAATATATATACAAATTATTTTAAACAATCTCCCCATTCTTATTCTATTTAGATAATTATATATTATTATTTACATAAATAATTGCTTATTTTTAAAATACTAAATAAATGGCCTCAAAGATCCTCTTATTAGTTAATTTAAAGAGAAATTAAATTAAATCTAAGTAAATAAATCTAATTATGATATTTAACAGATAGAGATAATTTAATTTAATCAGAATTCCAATCTCATTTATTAAAATTATTTCATAAGAAAGTTGAATTTTGAAGTGTTTTCTTATAATAATAAAACTCTTTGTAAGATATATGAAATAACTTTACTTAGATTGATTAAGACTGATAATTTTTTTAATTTCAATTATTCAAATTGAAATACTGGTTTATAAGTAAATAAAATATAGATTACCTTAGAAGTATGAAAAACATAATTTTTTCCATTATCTAAATTTTCTATATCAATAATAATATTTTAGCAATATAATTCTAATTTAAGGATTTTTATTCAAACCTGGACAATATTTTGCTTTTAAACTTAAATGAATAATAATATAAATCTAATAGGATCTATTTTAATTTCAAACTTACTTAATGATTAGTAAAATGAGATTTATAGATTTTTAATTAAAAAATCTTAAAATAATTTATCCTGTCCATTCATAGATTTCAAAAATTTAATGATTTACTTTATTAATCTACTGGATAAATTTTAATTTATTATATACTTCTTATTTAATAATATAAAACCTGTTCAATACTATATCCAAATATTTTGTTTATTATTCATTAAGACTTTAGTATTTTTTAAATCTATCATAATTTTAAATAGCCAAATACTAATATAGATGTATATTTAAGTAAGGATATAAAGATTATTAAACAAATCTTAAAAATATTTAAGTTGTAAAACTTAATTAATTATCTAATTTCAATTAATATATATATTAATTTGATTATATAAGTAATTAATTTATTGTGATTATTATAACATTTTATTATTATTATTATTTTATTAATATTATAATGGGGATATGCACATCAAAAAAAAAAGTGGATGAGAACATTTAAATAGTACCCTACAAGTAAAATTATATAAATGATGTATTTTGATAGAGTTTGTATAACTGCGTTCATTTGGAATAAAGAAAGTCATAATTTATTCGATTTTGAGAGTAATTAGGCTGCTAAAAAGGAAATAGAATTAGATTTTTCAGGTAGTTATGAATCAAATAATTAGCAACACTTTCAATGGTGGATAACTAAATTATCGCATTAACAGATAATGTATAAAATTCTCACAATTATAAAACAGGAATATGTAAATAAATAGATCCAATTACTCAGAGTTGATTGCTAATAAGAATATATGATGTTGTCAGGTATAAGTTAAAAATCAGATTAAAGAGTTTGGGCTATTTTATGTAATAGACCAGATTTTGAATCATTGAATGTATATTATAAACTATAATGAGGAATGGGAACTCTAAAAAGGTGATATGATAAAATTAGGAAGAATGAAATTATAACTTTTAGATTTTAATTATGATATTGATGCTATTTAATAATAAAAAGAATAAGTAGAAAATGATGATGAATTATAATCTAAAGATTTAGAACTTGAAGCTAGTTAATGTAGAATTTGTTTCTCTAAGAGTGGTTCTCTATCTAACCCACTCTTTAGTCCTTGTAAATGTAATCTAAATAATTATTTTAATTAGGTATTGGCTCTATGAAATATGTCCATCTTAATTGTCTATAAATTTGGATTCAGTAATAAATTAAAATTAAAAACCAGCATTCATCAATTCAATATATATGGAAGAAAATGGAATGTGAAATTTGTAAAATGTCTCTTTAAAGTACTTACACATATTAAGGTTAAATATTTTGCATTATGCAAATATAAAAACCTGTTGCTCCTTATATGATATGGAAAATAACATCTGATGATAAATCAAAAGAAGGAATTATCTAAGTTATGGAATTGGTTGATAAATCTGAAATCAAAATAGGCAGAGTCCCTGATTGTGACATTAAATTAAAGGATATTTCTGTCTCTAGAAGCCATGCTATTATTAAAGTGATAAAATAAGAAGATAATAAATATAAATTGATTTTGTAGGATAATAATTCTAAATTTGGAACTTTGTTATATGCATAATCAGATAAATTATTAAGATATGAATTATAATATTAATAAAAGGTTCTCTATTAAATTGGGAGAGTTCTCCTTTATGTATAATTAAAAGAAAAAGGCAAATCTTATAACAAATAGTATTCCTTATCTTCTATTTTTAGATTTACTTGTTATAGACATCCAAATTAAATTCAAGTCTTTCCCAAAAAAACCATTAATGAATAAGCTACAATTGTTCCTAATTTTGAAAAAGAAAAAGATAACCAACTATCATTTTAAACACATAATGAATTAAATCAGGATGACATAGTTATTAATGTTAAATAAATATGATCATCTGTTGACTATTATATTATTGTATAAATGAAAATATTAGATCCGTTCTAGTTTTTCTTATAATCTATTTTAATTCTACTTTCTTAAATTAATATTTTGATGCCATCAAAATTAAAAAATAATTATAAATTAAATAAATTTATATATATAAATATATTTTAAATATTTAAGGGAATTATTGTAAATAGTTATATAATATAAAAAACTTTTATCAAAATTTTTTATGCATTTTTATTAAAGAATGAATATCATCTAAGACTCTTAATTTATTTTATGTTGTAACTTGATCTTATTTATTTAATAGATCTTATTTTTATTTAACTTCTCTTTCATTTTCATAAATTTTAACTTTTTCTTCTATCTATAATAATAATAATAAATATTCATTACTTATTTAAGTGAATATTAACTTTATTCTATTTATTATTTATATTTTGAAGATTTTTGTGTTAATTTAAGTATTTCTTCATCTTAAAGTTTTATTTTTTACTTATATTCATTTTCTCGAGCTTTAAATTATATTACTTCTTCTTTTGATGAAGCCAATGATTTTACTAGATGATCAATCTTAATTTCGATTTCATCCATAGTTTAATCATTTTCATGTTATTTTATTTGTAGCATGTTCTCTAGATCTCTACATTATTATTAAAACATTCTTAATTGTTCTTATAAATTTAAGACCTAATGTTTGAGCTAGAAGAAATCACTAAATATATTACTTATTCAATAGTTCTAAAATCTTATCTGGTTATAAGTTCAAGCTCTTCAGCTTTTAATTTTTTTTATTACATAATAGATTTTTGATCACAAATCTCTTAGGTTAGATCTTATATTTTATTTTCAGCATTTACTAACTTAATTTATAAATTATCATTTAATTTATTCATTTCACTATTAAGATCTTGTAATTTTTTTAAATCTTATAAATACACATTACTATTTTTCTCTTCATTATCTAATATTCTTTAAAATTCTTTAATTCTATTATGTAAATTATCTATTAAGGCTTTCTATTCAATAATTTTTTATTTTTTTTTTTCTAAGAGATTACTTTGCTGAGATACTCTTTTTTCAATTTCTGCTTCTTAATTTTAATATATGCGTTATTGATGTTTTTCAGCTTTTGATAGCTAATTTTAATATTCTTCACATTTTTAATTAGCTTGATCTAACTAAGATTTTAAGTAATTTAGTTATTGATTCAAACTTTCTATTTATTATTATTGATCATAATCTCTATAACGTACATCTTAGAATAACTATTCAAAATATCTAATTTGCTCATCTCTATTAGCTAATTCACTTTTAGATTGGTCTAATTCTGCCTCCAATCCTCTATTTTATTATTCTTAATTCTTTCTGATAATATTAATATTTTAATTACATTTCATTTGAAAATTCTTCACACAACTATTATACTCTTTCAAGTTCTTTTCCAAAATTTTACCCTTATTATTCAAATATTGTTTCTCCTTATTTCAATTATTCTCTTAATGTAGCTAATTTTTATTTTTTAACTTGCAATTTTTATCGTAGAACATGATTTTACTATTATACTTCTTCAAGATATTTCTCTTGAGTGTCAACTTTAACCTTGACCTCTTTAGTAATATAATCCCCTTTATTTAATTAATCTTGCATCAATCTATTTTCTGATTCTAAAGATTTAATTTATTTTTCTTTAATCTGTAATTTATTTTCTAATTCTTTATTGATATTCATATAATCCTTCAAGGTTATCTAATTAATATGAATATTAATTTACTTTCAATTCCTAATTTAATATTCTAATTCTTTCATATTTTTCTTTTTCTTGAAGTTCCTTAGCATTTAATGTATCTCTTAATCTACTAATCTATTCTAAAGAACCACTTTGTCTACGTCTTTCTTTTGATGAATCCTCACTAAATGTAGAAAAAAAAGAATGTTTACTCATCATCTTTAATCCTACTTGGTCTAGATCTTCCAGTAAAATAAGTAGCAGGCTACTGAGGAGTTGGATCATATTGCATAATTTAATCAATCTATTATGTTGTTTTTTTGTATCGATCAATAAGTTTGTTTACATTTCTCTCTAATCGGTTATCCATTATTTAAATTCAAAATTATTATAAATCAGGTTAACTTTATTTTCTTAAATCTTACGAATCAATCATTTTCAAATCTGGATCTTCATTTTGGACATCTTAGAAAGGGTTTTACTCTTCATCTGGTAATTTTTCTTCATCATTAGATAGTTCTTACTTTTAATCTTTATCATCTTTCTTATTTTTCATTATACTATTTTTATTATCAATTTCATCTTCATCCTCAATTAAATTAATTAATTCTGATTCTTATCTGTTATGAATAGGAATAATTTTATTTTAAGACTATCCATCATTTTTTGATACATCATGATTGATATCATTGATTTATTATTATTCATCTTGATCATCTTCTTCTTCATTTTAATTGATATCAAAAGGAGCATGAATTTATTAGAGTAGAATTCTTTGTTGTTTATTTTATTTAGTAATTAAAGCATAGAAATGATCAATTTCTAATTTACTTAAAGTAATTTCAACTTATTATAATACTTCTAAATAAATCTAATAATATATTAAACATTTTACATCAATATTAATATATCCATTTGTATATGTTTCTGGATATTTCTTAATTAGAATATCAGAAATTTCATTTTTCTTCTTCATAATTTATTAATTGATATTATTTAATTATTATGATGTCAATATTTAATAGTTTTCCATTAGAGTTTTAAAAATACTTCTAACTCTTGCACTAGTAGTAGTTTCATTTTCATTTTCAACATCAGCTAAATAGATAGCAGCCATTTCAATTTATTCAAATGATTAGAGACCGAAAATTCTATTGGATAAATTTTATTTGAGTTAATGTTAAGTTAAAGTATCATGAGTTAAGAGATATTATTCAACTTATTATAAAGAGATTTTTAATCCAATTAGATTTAATTTAACTTATCTAGCTATAGTTAAAATCTAATTTTTTTCAACATTGATTATTTTCTTCTTTTATAATTCATTTTCCTCTTATTATTAAACTTATTCTTCTGGTTATTAAGGTCCATTATTCTTTATAAGTATTGTTCTTTTAGATTAATACTTTTAGATTTTCTCTAAATCGTATTCTCTTTATAATGTTTCATATTATCTCTTTTAATCAGATAATTTTTTTTCGAGATTATCTATTTATTCTTGATTTTCAGCTTACATTTTCTACATCATATTTTCCAAGTATTTAATTTTCTACCTTTCATTTCTTAGATCTACTAAAGCTTAATCAAAATCTAACTATAACTATTCTTCAACCTTTTTATTGTCTTTTTATTATGGTCTTTCAAGAAATAAAGTATCCTTTTTCTTTAATTCTGCTATCTCTAAAAGTAATTATGCATTAAGGTTTTTCAATTATTTATATTTATTTAATATTGCATTATATTTGACATTCATCTTATTGTATTGACTCTAAATTTAATTTATTTTAAATACTTAAGCTTGATTTACTGATTATTCTTGTTATTAAATTATTTGAGCTAATTTCATATTATCCTCACTCAATGACATACATAAGTTTTCAACATTGTTTTTATTTAATGGACTTTATATTTATCCAATATATTATTGCTATTCTGCCAATTATTATTGTAATTTGATATTTTCTTCCTATAATTCATATATAATAATATACTTCAAGTCTTGTGATTTTTTCTAAATAACCTTATTTTAATCTTGGATAACTTTTAGTAGGAGTTCCTTCATCTTTCGAGATTGATTAGACTTCTCTTTTAAAATATTAAATTTATGATTGAAATTATCTCAATGTTAACTTTAATTGATTGTTCTCTTATTTCAATTTCTGTATTTCCTCATATAAACTTTCCTTATCATGTATAATATATTTAGCTCTTAATTTATTTGCTTCTACATTATCAAGGGTTCTGTTTCTAGAATATAAATTTTATCTATGTAATTTCTATTGAGAATGCACTTATAAGGATTTTTATGTTTGAGAAATTGATAGCATGTTTTTTATAATTAATAATAAAATGCAATCATTAATCTAAGCTTTTCAGCAAAAAATATCCTTGTCTGCTTCATTTGTTAAATAATCTACTCCATAAATATTGTTTGGCATAAGTCTACTTTCTTGTTTATACCTTTTAAATTAATAATAAAAAGAGGAAAAACAAGTTGAACCTGAAAAGACTGAAAAAAAATTAAAAAAAAAAGCATCTAGCTAAAAAAATCTGGATGATAATAAGCCACAATATATGGATGTAATATCAGATCTGGTATGAATAGTTTAATTTAAAAGAAAAAAAGCTAAAAGAAATTAAACAAAAAAATTAATAAGTAATTTGATGATTCAATTGACAACACTGAAGAAAATATACCTAGATCACCTGATTACAGTGTGGTTTCAGAAATAGATTAGAAATACTTTTAAGAATTGATTCAAAATTAAAAAAAAACTAAAAGAGCTTACTAAACTGATTGTGAATCAACACCTATTATATCATTAAGAGGGTATGTTATATAAAAGGAATTTTTAGATTTAGAAGAAATTAATAATTGATAGGAGAAGAAGATAAAAAAGGAGAAGATCGTTTGTTTTATATTCTCAAATAACGTGTAATTGAATAAGATGAAAAAGAAAATGAAATTGATGAAGATGATATTTGATATAATTAGTCAAACATTATAATTAAAATCAAATCAGTACAATATCTCATGTGATTCTCCACCATATTAAAAATCTCATTTAATAATAATATCATTGTTCTGTTAGTCTCATCTCTTTTGATACTTTTTCTTCTGTCAATTCAAAATTTAGAATATCATTTATCTCTTAAATACTAACATCTATTTAGTTCTAAGATTCTGATCTTTATACTTTTCCTTAATTCAATGTTTCCTATACTGAAAATACTTATTCTAACAAACTCTTAATATTTCATTTATCAATCAATCATATTCTAATCATTTATCTCTCTTTTCATTCATTACATCCTAACTTAGATTTTCGATTTTATACTCCATTTCTTGTTTGTATTGTTCTTTAGTCTCTTTTATAGATTATTGTTATTTAGTCAATTCTATTCTCATTTTGTAAAATTATTCATCCATTAAATTAGTCAATCTCATCTCAAACACTTTGTAATGAATTAAATCCTTTTTAGTACTCTGTTACAAATTCCTTTCATGTTTTTTTTAAGTATTATAATGAAAATTTTTAGTATTAATCTATTTATAAATTTTATTTTATTTTAGTAATTTCTTCATTTCATATATTTTTTCGATATTATTAAGCTTCATTTTAGTTTACTCTTTTTAATAGAGAATTTGAACCTTTTAATATATTAAATTTAATATATGTTCATATATTTCCTATTTCTAGGTTCTATCCTCATCTATAAATGATTAAGATAGCTTTTCCCTCAATTAGATGAAACTAGACTTATTTAAAGATATTACTTGTATATTTTTATGGTATATATGTAGTTCCAATTAATTATATAACATCATCATAGATTAACTTTTATGATGTTATATAATTAAAGAAGAATATAATTGAACTATTTAACATATAATTAATAAAATATATAAAATAAAATGAATAGAACTCCTCATATGGATTAATTGATCTCTAAAATCTATAGATAACGTAAAAATGTAAGTCTAATATGTTAACAAAAAGTAAACTCCAAATGATTATTCTAGGGAGATGTACTCTCATCCAAATAGCCATCAAACATCTAACAAAGACCTTTTGAATTTAACTAGCAAATAAAAATTAAATAAATCATGTAACTATAATTCAAATTTACATCAACGACTCTAATCCAAAGCAGGAGCAGATATAAAATAAAAATTATTAGATGAAAGTAAATGTATGTAATTACTTTCACAGTTTTAAGAGGATCACATTCTAATATCTCAACTAGTTATTTAATTAGTACACTAAAAGAAAAGGTTAGTGAAAAGGTCAATTAAAAAGTTTAAAAATACAACACTTGTTAAGAAGCTTCATCATTCACAATCCCTTAAAAAGAGTTATCCCCTAAACCTATGTTTAAAATTCTTGAAAACTTTCTCTTTGCTGAATGTTAAAATCTTAAAAATCAAGTTTCACTTAATTCATTTCAAGAACTACTTGATAAAATGGAAATAAAAGAGTAATCTTTAAAAATATCAATTTTTGCAGATTTAAAAAAACTTTTCATTATATTAGCTTAATCTATTCGAAATGATATTTAAACATAAAAGAAAGAAATAGAATCTCTTCTTCGATAAAATAATTCATTTAAATCTTAAATCTAAGAAATGAATTCTCAGTTAGATAAATTCAAATCTGTTATTGAAGATTAACAGAAATAAATCAAAATTAAAAATGAAGAAAACTTTATTTCAATAATGAATACACTTAGATCTCATGGTGTTGATCCTCGAAAAATGTTAAAAAAATGTTAAGATAATGTTGAAACTTGTAAACTCAAATAAGAATAATCTGAATTTATAGATGAATCATAAAAATATAGTTCAGATGATTCTATTCCATTTGGTAATTATTATTATTTATTATATAAGTTGATCCTCAAACAATAATAAAAAATGAAAAAAAAGTAATAGGACTTGCACTAAATTTAAATCCATTAAAAGATCCTAAAAAAGCACCCATTGGATATCAAGATGAATTTATGGCTAATATTAATGAATTCAGCGAAAGTTGGAGATAATAAGCTTTAGCCGAAAAAAGATTTTGACTTTTTTTTTTAATTATTTTTTATATTAATTAAGTAAGATATAGATTAAACATCATTCTTGAAGAAATTATTATAAGTATTTGAAGGTATATTAATTATAATAATTTTAAGACAATTATTTTTGTTTCATTGAATTTCATCACAGAATACATAAATATTATTACGTCAACAATAATCCACATAAATATTCAATATAAATAAAATCAAATTACTCCTAAAAATAGAGGAAATGAGACAAAACAAACCTTCATAAGATGCCTTTGATGAAGTATAAGGTTCATATTCTATGGATGATCAATTTAATGTATAGGAAGGATATAGAAATTCAATTGATGAAATTCCAGCTAATTAACTTAGGTATTATTTATATTTTATTTTATAGTGGAGATGAAGCATTAGAAAAGAGTTTTATGTAATCAACAGGACAATCATCAATATGGTAAAAAAAAGGATAAAAAACTTCAATTCCAATGACATCTGTAATTGTAATGAAAAGTATGGTTGGAGTAGGAATTCTAGGAATAGTAATTAATTTGATTTTAAATTAGCCTTATGTTGCATCTAATTTTGGAGCTATATTAACAATTTTGATTTTAATGATAATATTTTTTTTGGGAATACTTTCATCTAATTTATTGTTAAAGTCTAAAAATCTATCAAAAAGAAGTAATTTTTCAACAATTGGATTTTATATCTTTAAACATAAATGGATTATTATAGTAGTAAATGTGATGATAATTTTATCAAATTTGGGAGTATGTTTAAGCGAATTAATGTAATTAATATTATAATTTTAGTATTTTTGGAGATACAGCAAGTAATCTTATTAATTATTTTACTGATAGAGATACAGATGATTAACCATTCTATTTAACAAGACCTGTTTTTTTAATAGTAATAAGTATAATGTTGCTTCCTTTTTTACTTGTTAAATCTATAGAGAAATTGAGATTTGTAAGTTTATTTGCTATTTTATCAATCAGTTCATTTTCATGTCTTGTAATCTATAATTTTTTCAGAATTGAATAAACTAATAGTTAATTTTCATGGTGGATTCCAGATAATTTTAATATTAACAGAGCTTTAGCATCTATGCCAACATTAATATTAGCATTTAATTGGCAATTTAATTTATTTCCTATTTTTAAAGGAATGGCATAACCAACTGATTAAAATTTAATCAAATCTACAATTTTTGGATTTTGTTAAGGATCTCTTTTATATTTGATAGTAGGATTATTAGGATATGCAACTTATGGAACAAATGTAATAAATATAAATAAATTATAGATTGAACCAAACTTTTTATTAAGTATTGATGAAAAAGATGTTGGTCCTGTTTTATTTGTTATTTTGAATTTAACTTTTGTATTTTCTACAACTCTTACATTACCAGTCATATTTTTTGGAGGAAGAAACAACTTTATTTAAATGATTAAACAATTCACAGTAATTATTATTATATATAATATAGGAAAATAAAAAAGTTAATATATAAGCCAAAAAGAAATTATTAGATGATTAATAAACTGAATAATATTACAAAGATCTGTTGTAATTTAGAAAAAAATCTTAAGCCATCCGATTTTATGGAATTAGTATTACATTATTTATTTTATTGGCTATTGGAGCAGTTTTCATTAAAAATTTAGGAACTGTCTATAATTTATTAGGAGCAATAGCATGTAATGCAATTTAATTAGGACTTCCTACATTATTCTATGTATTTTTAGTAAAACAAGTTAAGAAAATGAAATTTCGAAATAATTTGAATAGAATATTTTATTTTTTTGTTTGTGGCCTTTTGGGTGTAAGCATAATTCTAACATTTTTATGTGTGACTTGTGAATTTATAAAACCAGAAAAAGAAGTTGTTGATAATTGATATTTGTATAACTATTTATAAATGATTCATAAATTACTAGTATGATTTTTATATATTAAAATAAATTATGGATTAATAAAATTCAGCCAATCGAGAAGAGAATTCAGTTTAGGCAAGACTTAGAAGAAGAAGAAATGATTCTAATAATAGAGACTATTCTTGTGGTTGTGGTAAAAGTTATTTAAGTTATGCCGCTTTATATACTCATTTAAAGTATTTTGCTTATATAATAGAAAGATAGAAACATGATTCTATAGCTCCAGATGGAACTCAATTACCTAATAATGCAAATTAAAAACCAGGAAGAGGTAGACCAAGAAGAGTAATTAAATCATAATATAATATTAGTAAGATGACTAAGATAAAAAAAGTGCTAAATCTGATGATGGATAATCTGAAAGTGTAAATGAACCAGATGAAACTATAGAAGAACTTTTAACTTTTTTGGATAGTTTAGGTAATTTTAGATAAACTGAAAAATTTTCAAATGATGTAGAAATATAGGTTTTTCTCCTTTAAAATTTTCCTTGTAATGTGTTTTCAAATTGTTCTGAATATTAGGGAATATATGATTTAATAAAAGATCTGACAAATGAGAAGGTAGACTATATTTTTCTATTAAAGATTAAAATTTAAGATATTGATCTTCTTGCTAATGAACCTTTAGATAAAGATACATCTTTACGTAAAACAAATATTACTAAAATAATGGCATATTTTTTGACATAAATAGGTCCAAAGTTATGTGTTGAAGCATATAGAGAAGTAATTAGGAATATATATACTTTTATAGATGGTTATATTCATAGTTTTTTATTAGAAATGTTTGAATATGTTGGGTTATTAAGCAATATAAAAATATTTTTAAGAATTAAGAAAAGGAGATAATAAATAATTGGATATTAAAGAAGGTTTTATTTCAAATATATAAATTAGAGGTCATTCAAAACTAAGAATTTTGTGATGTTTAAAATGGAGAACATATGCTTTTGATTGCTAATGATTTTATATTATCATTTTTACCTTAGTCCTATTTAGGATTAGAGGCAATTGAAAAGAATTTCAAAATATTTGGTAGTTGTGCTGAAAAATTAAAAAATGCTGTTTATGTTACATAACATTTCTCTTATTGGTTATATTCTTTAAAATTTACAAATTCTAGATTAGATTTTTATACTGATGATGATTGATCATTTTTAATTATAAATGTGTGTTTAAATAAATAGACAAAAATTATTAATTAAATAAATGAGTGAGTTGGAATATGTGAATCTTGAAAAATAATCAAAAGGAAATAAAAACAGAAATAATAATTAATTCAACAGAAGAGGCAAAAGAGGAGATAGAAACTAATCAAATAGAAGAATTAGACCTGTATGGAAATAAAGATAAATACAATAAAGATAATAATAATAGCAAGTACATCTTTTTGAAAACATTACAGGGATAATAAAGATCAAATAGATTTAGAAGAATACCAACTGGATAAGCTAGAAGATAAAGAATAAATCGAATCTAAAATAGGCCTAGATAATAGTAAAGAGAAAGAGGAAGAGATAGAGTGAGAGAAACAGAAAGAGATAGAGATGATGATAGAGAAAGATAAAGAGATAGAGATAGAAATAGGGAAGAATAGAGATATAATAATAGAGATAGAGATAGAGAAGTTAATTCTAAAGGACCTAGACCTAATGTTATTGTTAGAGGATTAGATCCACATTAAACAGAAACTGGACTTAGAGTAAATATCTTAATTTAATATTTTAGGAATTTTGTTCATAATATGGACCAATGGAGATGTGTAAATTAGAGAGAGACAATTTTGGAAATGTTAGGGTATTATATTTAAATATTTGAATTATAGCCTGAAGGAATTGGTTTGATTAGATTTTTTAAATAAGAAAATGCTGAATTATTTGTTTCAAAAGTTGATGGTGAAGTAGTCAATGTTAATGGAGATGATAAGAGCGTAAATATTTTATATAATTGGTAGTTGAGAAGACTTTCTGCTAAATTAGTTGGGCAGAATAATAAAAATAATAATGATAGATAAACTAGTGGAATACTTAAGATAAGTAGAGGTCCTATTCAAAAGTAATTATAATCTAACATTATTAGATCATGGAGAAGATGAAATGGTGATATATGAATTAATAATATTTTAAACAAATCCTAAATATTTAGCATTAACTATGGTAAATAGCTTTATGGAGAAGTCTTTATAAGGATGTATTGTATTTAGATAATAATAAACATACTCTTTAGACTTTATCTATAAACTACTATCTTCACAATATATTATCTATAATTATACACAGTTACCATACGAATAATATGAATACAATCATTTAATTTATTGCATTACTTTTAGGACATCTACCTTTGATTTAGGTTCTCTGATTTTCTTTGGTTCTTGCAAACAATATTTGATCATAAAGTATTTTAATGGATCAATCACTATTAAATCTAATAGTAAACTAGGTAGATATTCAATAAACCATTATAAATTATCAAAACTTAGAAATATTATGAGCCATATTATTATTCCAATACTTGAAATCCAAACCATTATTAAAACATATTTCAACTTTTAATGATGATGAACAATGCATTTAATTGAATAATAATCACTTATTTTTAATAGGAAACAACAGCTTAATGTAATTCCTATAATGATCCAAAAATTGAAATTTGGTAAATAATTTATGAGGAGTCCTGACACATCCATACATATTATTTATCGAAAATATATTATAAGGATCATAAATATTCTTGAAATCCCTTCTTTATGGGAATAAAATATTTTACTAAATTAATGACATTTCTATTTTTATTTTAATTTATACATAAAAATCATTTTCTGGTTTTGGTATTAAATAATTTGGATCTTATTTGATTGCTTCAACCCTTCCAAAATTACTAAATTGTGATATTCTTGGTTGATTTTATTAATATTTTTAATTATTTGATCTAGGTGTAAAATCACCTATACTACTTCTATCACTTTATATTTATGATAATCTTTTTCCAGGAGTCCTTAAACTTCTTCTATTTGTAGTCTATACAGTATCAATTCCTTCAAAAGTACCAATTGTAGGTTTTCTCAAAATTGTTCTTCTTAAAGTATTAGATCTTTAAGGTGTTCTATTAATTCTTGGAGATGACACTTATTTTGGGTCAACAGTGAAACGAATAGGAGAATGTTATTCTGAAATATTTCTTTCCCCATTACTATATAATTAATCATCTTAATTCAAATTAGGTGAATTATCTCCTTGATTATTAAAAAAATCTTCTAATTCATTGTTATCTAATCTAGTTATTTATTAGATTCTAGTTTGACTCTATATCTTAGATGTAATTGGTAAAATTCCAAAAGTAGTTTCACCAGGGTTTTTATTATTATTAATTTGAGGAGATATTGATGCTAATTTATACTATTTATCTAAAAGATATCCAATCAATATTATCAAAATAATGAATAATGTCCATGATCCTAAATATACTAAAATTATAAAGTTAGTAATCATAAATTTATTTTATAAAATTTCATTCAAAAATTCTATCTTGATTGCTGTTATGCAAAACTTTAGAATTTTATATGCATGTACTTATAAAATAATAATTATCTAATCCTTCTTGGTATATTAAAATAATAATATATATTAATTTATTAATTAAATATCATGGAATATCATATATATCTAAAATAAAATACAAATTTTGGTTAAAATATTTTCAAAAATAGATATCTGTAATCTTTAAATGACAAATAATTAATAAAATTTAATTTTGATTATCTTTTAGTTATTCAATTTTTGAGTTATTTTAACATTTATGTAGTTTAATTTAAAAAAAATGGTAAATATATGATAATAAAAAGTAAAAAAATAAAGAAGAATGAAAATACATTATTTATATAAGATTTATAATTTATTTATATATAAAAACAGATTATATTTTATTATTTTCAAAATGATTCTAGAATTTTAGAGTGAAAATATTTGAGTTTATTTTAAATATTTATTGTTGTCATATATAATATAACTCTATCTATTTTAGTTTTTTTATCATTTATCTCTACCCATACATGAAAATAAACTGACAATTCTTTTAAAGACATTTATATCTTCTTAATGATTTTTTGGAGCAATTTATTATTGTTGATAACTTGCTTATGTTTCATAAGAATATGAATTTGAATTTTCCTCATTTTTTAAATTGTTTTAAGATTCTCTTGTAATATATGGATGTTATATTATCTCATTTAATGTGATTCTTTTATTAGGTTCAGGATCAAGCATTTTGATTATTAAATCTTTTGCATATTGATCAGTCATAGTAAATTTGGGTTCAGTGAAATTTAAGATTTGTTCAATCATCTCTTCTTCAGTACCTATAGATTTTATTAAATTCTAAAATACCAGAAATAATAGGTTTTTTTTCTATCATCCAATATAAGAGACATCCTAAACTCCAAATATCTAGAGAATATGATTGTGGATAATTCTTTAAAATTTCAGGTGCCATAAATTCATAAGTACCAGAAAAGTTACTTATGACATCTTTTTGTGTAGCTAAACCAAAATCACATAATTTAACATTATTTTTATCACTTAATAATACATTTGTTGGTTTGATGTCTCTATGAATTATTCCTTTATTATGAAGATATTGTAATGCATTACATAATTAAATTATTATCTATTTTGGATCTATTTACATATTAGTTGTCAAATGACCATTTTCTAAAAATATTGTATAATTAATACTTGCATATTCTTAAATCAAATATAAATGATCATCTTTATCTATGAATTATAATAGCTAGATAATGTATTTATGCTTTAGTTATTTATGTATTTTAAGTTCTCTGTAAGCTATATTTTTATTTATTTTTTTTATCGCAAAATTATATCCATTCAGTTATTTTAAGTACACCATTCCAAAACTACCTTTACCTATTAGATTCATTTCATCATCCAATTAACTTACAGTTAATTTTGGAACTATTTCAAATAAACCATTGCAAACCAATTAATGATATCCTTCCCTATAAAAAATGTAATTATTAAATACCAATCGAAATCTCTACATTTGATTGAACAATAGAATGCATTAGAACAATTATCACAAGTTATCTAGGTACCACTTATAATAGAATTGTATTATATCTGTTCATTGCATTTAGAATTTTAGCAATTCATGTATAGGTTTCAGAAATGGAAAAATTATTAAACTAAAATAACAAATACATTTTATTTGTATTATTATATGTGTATTAACTTAAAATCAATTATAGCTATATGGTACAACAATTTCTTCTTACTAAATAATTAATCACTTAATTTTACATGATGTAAAGGAACCAAATCAATCCAATCAGCACTATTTAATGGAAGTAAACCAATATTGTATAATTTATAAAGTACTACTCCTAATTACAATAATCCAGCAGATAAATAAATTAATTTATATAAAAACAACGATATTCCTCTATTCTCTAATGCTGAAAATGCTTAATCCATTTTTGCAATTGTGGATATAGCTTACCATAAAAATTATCCAATAATCACAATTGTAAATATATTCATCATATTTCCTGTCATATATAAAGTGAACATTATCATAAATATATTTCCAAATCCCCCCTTAGCTATACCCATAGCTTTCTAATTTTTTATGTTAATAACATTACTTTCTCTAAATCATCCCTCAATTCTTATCCTTAACAATCATCATATGCTTTTTTATATCCAACTGGATCAGGTAAACTTTTTTCTCTTTTTATTTTGATTTCCCACATATAAAATATATATATATATATTGTTATTATATAAAATTATTTCATCGTAATTTTGATTATCCAATTTCAACTTTATAAAGTTCCTTATAGATTTCTGAAATTGATTTATCAAGAGTAGATATTAGATGTCCAGAACCAGAATGAACTACAGGAGCCTAATATAATTAATAAGTTTTTTACTTTAATATTTCTTTCTTTAATTATATTGCATTTCTTTAATATTTATTTAGAAGTTTCAACAGGATTGAATGTCTCTGTTTCATTACCTTATTTTGGTTAAGTTCCATTATCCTCTTACTTATTTAAATTATCATTTGGAATAGTTTTTTATTTTTCTTGAGATGTCGGAGGTTTTCTTCTACTATCTTCTTATGTATGAACTTAAGGAAGTGATCTTGCATGTTCCATTAAAGTTACTTAGTATTTTTATATATGTTTTACATGGTAAATTATTGTACATTGTTTATGCTGCTTAAAAATGAGTTTTATTATGTAATGATGGTAATAAATTCTTTGCTATCAATCTTGATAAATATGCCTTTCTTTCTAAAGAAGACATACCTTCTGAAAAATGTTCTAAATTAAGAATCTTTTTATGATCAAGTTTCATATTTTCTACTTGAGATTGTGTATGATCTTTTAAAAATTATTCAATTCTTGCCAAAGCAGTTTTATCTCTATATCTAAAAACATCTCTTTTTATATCTTTAGAGGGATCTCTTTCTCTAAAACAATATTTTCCTACTTTTAAATTTGGTAAGAAATCTAAATTATTATTTTTTTCTTATGCTTCTTGAATTCTATCTTTTTCATGCTTAAATCCTTTAACATATATCTATGGATCTCCAAGATTCTTTGTTGGATCTTCATCTCTAAATTAATATGCTTCAGGTGGCTTGTATTCATTACATACAATTGGGTTCTCCAACATATTAATAACAAAATTTTCTATTCTTTTCTTATAATTTTTAGATAATCTTTGATTGAGTTCTAATTTAATTTTAAGAATACCTTTACGATTCTCTCTTTACTTTAAATAGTCCTTTTTTATTTTGTCTATTTCTTTTGTAAATGCCAATTACTTATCGTACTGGTAACTATTAAACATATGAACTTAATTTTACTCTCCTTTATAATAATAAATTATATTTATATAAAATAATATATTAGTAGTTATTGTATAATTGTTTAGAAATAATAATGCAATTCAAATATAATCAATTTTTATTATTCCAAATAACAATCAACATAATATTCAATTGAATTTTTATTTATATATATATTTCTTATCAATATCTGTTTTTTAACTCTTCTCATCCTCTTAATATAGAATTTTAGATGCTAATATTATTCACAATAAAAATTGGAATTAATCTATTGTTTGTTTATAAAAAATATAAGTATTATTCTATTAGAATGTTCTACTCAACTCAAAAGATTAAATTATGAAAAAGAGCATCTTTTTAATGTATTAAAATCAACTACTTTAATATATATGTAATTATTCTATATATTTAATCAACTCAATTAAAATAATAATTGCTTAAATTTATACTCTATTCTATAATGAATCATCTCCATTATATATAAATTGTAAGATATACAAAAGTATTTGAAGATAGTCTCTTAAAAAATAAATATTTTATCTGATCATTGTAATTAATTTATTGAGATATAGTAATATCAATATTTGTGTTTTGTATATAAAAATAATTCAAGATTAAAGAAGACATTTACTTCTTCAATCAACTTACTCATGAGACACAAAAACTAATTTTAGTTGAAGAATGGAAAAACTTAAAGTATATATTCAACTGAATCTACAATTCAAACTCCTTCTAGATAATTATCACCAAAATCACCATAGATTTGGACCTCATCTGCTTTATCCAATACAAGTATCATGCATTCATTATTAAATAGATCTGCCAGCATAATCTGATTTATAATATTAAGTGAAAATCAAAGAACTTTTAGAAGAAAATTAAATGTTGATTCATAAAAGCTCCATGCAAGATTTAATCATTAATAGATTATAATAAATAGAAGAATTAGAACCTATAAGATCCAGCAGAGTAAATACTTTAAATAATGTTCGCAAAAATGATAAGAAACAAATCAATAAAATTTAAAAATCTGTTTACACAAGGGAAATAGAGAGCAAAGATGATAAAATGTTATTTACTTTCTTTAGTCCAGAACCAAATAAGAAAACTAGTGTATGCAAACTTCCAAAAGTGTTTTAAGTGATTCCAAAGAAAAAAAAATATTTTATATGACCAACTGTTATTATTTGATAACATCGTTAACTTATTATTTGTATTTGATTTTAAAAATAAAGGATTTATCTTATTTCTTGTTAAATAAATAGATTGTTATAAAAACAGTAGAGATCGGATAATTTAATTTTTACATTATTCAAAATGATATTTTTGTTTTTAGATTTATTTTTCATTTGATATTTTATATTTTATTAAAATAAATTCTTATATATCACTATTATTTTAATAAATTCTATAGTTAAAGGTTCACCCATAAGAAAAAATTAAAAATCCATATCAAATTAGTCTATTGAACTTATTAATTACAAGAGTTAATCAAACATCTTTCTAGTTTTATAATATTAAATTCTAACATATTTCATCATAATACATTTTTATTTCAAATCATACCTCTATTTAAAACAATATTCAACCTTATTAATAATATTTATCAGAAAATCTTATATCCTAATTTTATGATAAGTATGTTCTCAATTAATAACTGTTATTCAGAAATATAAATATAAAAGAGTAAAATGATAAGAAGTATAAACTCATTATAATAATAATAATCATTTTAAACTTATGAATATTATGAATACTTAAAAATTAATAAACAAATATTTATTAATATATTTTATGACTTTTGTCCTCAGTATTAATGATTAATAAATTAGAGTGATTATTAAAATCATAGATGCTTTTCAGATTTCAAATGTTAATTTGGAGATGAAAATGATATAATATAGATCCTTAATGTTGCTAATATTTTGATAAAGGACTAAATTTATATATTCAGAATTTAATATTATTATTTTCTACATTATGAAGTTTCATTGATTGAGAAAAACAAAATTAAGATTAACTTGATGACACATTCATTTGTTTTAATTTCTAATTAAAAAATATGAAATATAGTCATTAGAAAAATGATAATGTGGGAATTATTAAAACAGCCAGAATTTAAATAATTGTAAAATAAAGATAATTTTTACTTATGGTAAATTGAATTATAATGAAGAAGAATCAATTAATATAGAGATTCATTTATGGAATGAGTTATAATAAAAAAAAGTACTGGAATTATTTAATAATAAATAGTATATCATTTGTTACTTATTAGAATAGATATATATACAAAATTATATTCAATAATATGATTTTCATTTTGAGAGTTTTTCATAGACTTGTAGATATTTTCTAAGATGAGAGAGCGAATTATTACATATGTAAATTAACTATTAATATAATTAAAATGTATACCCCATATTTTTGAATAAAAATTTGAATTAGTTGAAGCAATCTTTGAGTGAAATTCTCTTATTTAAAGTGATAAAGATTGACTATCATATGTAAACAATCATCCTTCTAAAGTTAATGTTCCAATAAGCTCTTCTCTTAAGTATTACAAAATTCTACTATTGTCTTTAAATTAAACTTCTTCAAAGTTCTATAATCATCCTATGACTAAGGTACATATCCATAACAGATATTTTTATTTAGTTAGAATATCATTTATCTTAAATTAGCTAGATTATCTGAATATATTAGTAAAGCATCTTTATAATATGATTCTAAAATTAATTAACAATACTGTTTACATTCAGATTCTAAATCCAGTTTATATACAGGACTTGAATATTCACTTTTAGTTAAAAAATGATATTAGTATTGTATCTAAGCATCATTAATATCTAAGAGACAAGTATATTATGAAATTCCATCTTTATTTTTCATTCTAATTCTTTTTTTAAATTTGCCTAGGGTTTCAGGAGATCCAGAAATATATATTAAACAATTTGATGGATTTAAACATTAAAAACAAACTTTTCTGTGGTTCCACACATCAAATATATGTTTAGTAGTTACTCTATTGGGTCCAGATTCCCAAAAAACTGTTTAAACACTCTCATATTGAGAAATAAAATATTTATATTCAATTTCATGATAGGCTACTTCCACTTCCCAAATATCATTCTAAAGCTTGAATTAATAAATACTTCTGTCCAATTCATTCGAATGGCTTATTTTGGATTCCATTATCCTAAATACTTTGAATTTCCAGAAATATACACAGCCTAACCGAATTCTGTTTTGAATTGGATTTTTAAATGAATCATTTCACCAAAGAGAGTCAATAAATAATTAATTTCAAAGGATTTATTTGAGATGCTTATGATGCTTTTTTTAATACGTAAGAATTTTAATATAAATTAGAAATTTATGATTAAGTATAAATTTCACTTCAAAATATCAATTATTATCATAAATTAGCTTACTTAATATCTAATTAAGACATTTATATAACATAATACAACAAAAGAATTTAAACTTATTTTTATTTATAAAAATCAAATATATGATCAAATTACTAATTAATGTATAAATAAGTTGTAAACAATTATAAAGATATATTATAGAAAATATGAACATTTTTAATATGAAATATATTAAATATAATAAAATAGATTCTATACAAATTTTAAATAAATGATGTTAAACCACATATATATATATATATATATATTATGTTATTTAAAAATTATAATGAATATATTTAGAAACATTAAATCAATTAATATCTTAAATTTTTTAATGTATATTTCAAATCTCTAATTCTTAGATATAACTTTTAATTTATGGATTAAGTCTAGTAGTGAATATCTCAATACATTCATTTATGATATTTAATTCATTAAATCTGAAATAATTAATATATATAAATATTACTTTATTTATCTTAAATTTTGATTAGCTCTTAAATCATCATCACAAGTTTTTTTCCAATCATTATATTCTTAATTTTTTACAGTTAAAAGTTATTCTTTTGATTCAATATCATTTTGAAATTCAAGTAATTTCTATTTTAATTTTTCTGCCTCTGCTTATAATGATGCTATATTTGTATTTAAAGTTTATAATTCTAAATTATATCTATTTTTTTATAATTAATATAATTCTTCCTTTTATTCATCTCCAGATCTATCAACAGAAAGCAAATGTTATAAAGACTATTTATAATTAATAATTACTTCAACTAATTCATCTATTATTTATATGATTTTTGGTACATTATCATCACCTGCAGCAGCAATCAATATTTTCACTAACCCATGATATGGACTAGTCTTATTTAATGATTCAAGATGTTTATGTAATTTAGCTCTTACATCACCAACTTATAAAAATGAACTCTTAAGTTAAGATAAAATAGCTTTTGCTTTTTTTAATCCTGATATAAAATCTAATGTTTCTTATTATTTTTATTAGAAATCTTTCTAATTTATATATGACACATACCTTTTCTTCTGATCTTGAAAATTCTGCTCCATTTCTTCTATCTTAAATTCTATTTTATTAATCAAGTTTGTCTTTAATTTAATATGTAATTATATTTAATTCTTCTTATTTGAAAGGTAAAGTTCTTTCATTATCAGATTTTTTATTTTAAGCATTTTCAATAACAATTTACAATTCATTAAATCTTAAATTGCAAGATTCTTAACTTTGTTTAATAGATTATGAGTTATCATCTAGATCATTTTAAGTAGCTTTTTACATAGCCTTAAGTTAATTTACTACTCCATCAACAGATGCACTTAAAATGAATGAAATTTTACTCTTCACTTGCAAGTGTAATTTACATTGTTGCTATAATAGTTTTTCCAAATTCATAATTCTATAGTTATGCTAATAATTCATAATCATTTGCTGCAACAATAACGATAACAAAGTATATCAAGGATAAATTCATATTCATTAATAAAATAAAAACGATATTATAAATATAAATAAATACTTATATTTTAGATAATCAAAAATGTTTATATTTTAATGATCTATTCTTATTTAAAAATAAATACATATAAAGTATATAAAGTTTAAAAAAGTTTAAAATGTTAAATTTATTCTTGTATATTAAAAAGAAACTTAAAGTCATTCCTTTCAAACTTAAATGTTACTAAAGTCAGCACTTTAAACTACTGACAATGCTTGTTCACTAATTCCAAGCTCTCTAGTAAACTCATTCTTTAAGTTGGTATAGGTATCGGTTTCTTCAGCATAAGTGTTATTTTCTAATTCAAGTTCTGCAGTGTATTATTTTCTATCAGCTTCTCTTTAATCTCTAAAGTCACTTAATTAATCAATTTTTTCTAAATTTATTAATATATTTTAATACCATTTGTTGCAGTCAAATCTACATTAACTCTATTTATTTATCTTTAGAATTCAGCATATTCAGCATCCAATTATTCAAGATATTCTTCATGTTCTGTTTAAGCATCAGCTTCAGCAGCTGTTTAAGCATTAATTGAATCAACAATAGCATTTCTAAATTCATTAAGAGCATTAACAATTTAACCAATAATTCCTTAATCTGAGAAATTTTAGTTTGAAGCTAATGTAATAAGTGCCTTAATCATTGGAGCCATTCTTGATCTTGATTTAATTTTTTATTCAATATTTTTTAAAGAATTTTAGAATCTCTTAATTTAAAGAAGTGATGGATTTGTTAATGAAGAAAGGAGGGCAAGTGCATCATCAACTGCTGCAGTGGCATCATTCAATTCTGCAATTTAGAATTCAAAATCTTCATGTTCTTATTCTCTTGTAAGAACAGCTTCATCATAATTTTTTCTATTTGCCTCTTAATTTTCTTAAATTTATTCAATTCTCACTTGGAGTTGTTCTCTTCTTGGGAATAATAAATTATCTAAAGTATCTTATGTATTGTTAACATCTAAGAATTTATAATTAAAATACCGATTACAGCATCTTAAATATCTTATTCAAATCCTATGACTAATGAATTATGTTAATTAGTTCTTTATTAGAAATTGAATTCTAGTTCTTCCAACTCCTCTTCAAGATCATTAATTAATTCTTCAATGGCATCAATCAACTCTTAGACAGGGCCACCAGCCATAGAATGAAGTTCAACTAAATGAAGAAGTGCACTTCCATATGTGCTCTTTTTCAAATCTGTTGTTATTTTAGATAGACTTCTTTCTTAGACTCTAGCTGTGAATGCAATAGCAATCAAGGCAATGAGGAACAATGTTTTCATTAAAATTAATAATATGAAAAATGAACACAAAAAAAAAGCTTAGATTACAACAAAAACGACTAGTCTTATTAATTAATTTATCAATTAAAACCACTATCAGATTCTGTATCTGCAGCCAAATACTCACTATTCCAATTCATTTACTTCTTCTATTCTAATTTCAAAAGTTTCCTACTAACCTCTCTGCAAAATTCTAATTAGTATTATTATTATAAAATTTAAAATGGTTGCATTTCACTTTTATTATTTTTTTTATTGCTTGAAGAATTAGTTTTTCGTATAACTTTTATCTCACTCCCTAACTTAATAATAAATAAATAATATATACTTTGTATTTACCATTAATACCACCATTTATAGTTCTTTTACTTAAAGATGGACGACTTAAAGTAGATTCTGTAGTATTTACAAATTTTGTATTTTCTTTTTATTTTAATACATCTTAAAATGAAAAAAATGATTGTTCTTATTTAGGTTATTTAACATTCATTATCATTTATAATCTTTTATCTTTTATTCTAAAATCATTTTATTCAAAAAATGAATTTGAACATTCTCCTTTAGATTCTTATTTAATTGTATCAATTTAACGTCGTTTTTCAATGATTTACTCTTATTATTTTTTTTTTAATTGTAATTTTAATTTTCTTAATGATGATATGCAATTTCTTAATTAAAATTATTCACTCCATTTTATCAAACATTTATAAAACAGAACAGATCTAGATTTCAATTTTTAAAACATCTCTAAAAATTACATATCTAATTAATTTGCTTAATTAGTTCTTAAAATTAAAAAACCCTTAACTAAATCATTGTTAAATCTAAAATTTTATTAAATTATTACATACTTTTCTATATAATCATCATCAAAATTATCATGATATTTTTTTGATTCAAATTAAATCATAATACAAAGCATTCTGAGTATTATTTGAAATACATACACATCTTAAAAGGATAGTAGATATGTATTATTTTTTTCAGCATCTTTTATTGGATATATTTGATGATTCAATAATTTTGTCAATATCAATAATTATTTTTGTGCTTACAATCGATTACATAATTTCCGACAAAATTCAATCTATTCACATATCATCTCAACACACATTATTATGTTTTAATTATTACTCAATTATACAAAGCATTCCTCTAATTTCTTATTAACATAATTTGGCAAAGTCTATTCAACATAATAAGAGAAGATGCTGCAATTCATTGATTTGTTTGAATTTAAATAAAAAAATAATAACTAAAATAAACAAGATCAAAATTTTACTATAGCATTTATAAATAATTAAACTATTCATAAATAAAGCATTATAAATATCAAAAATCTCGATTAAAATTAAGAAAAAACATAAAGATTTTAGATATTTACAATTGATTATAATAAATTATAATATTTAAAATAATTATTTATTTATTATTTTCTATTCTTAAACTTTTCCTCATTAATAAACATTCTTATATTAACTTTGGAAATAAGACTTTATTTTCATATTGATAAATTATAATAATTTATATTCATCAAATTTTTATTTAAGAATTCTATATGTTTATTTAAAATGGAGATTGCATTTTTATAGAATATATCATATATCTTTAATTTAGAAAAAAAGAATGTATATTTGAGTTTCTAAAATTAAATTTAAGATTTAAAACCCAATTTGATAAATTTGATTTTATATCTCTTTAGTTATATTTTACTATGATAAATTTAATATTATTTTCTGAATATAATCTCTAAATCAAGAAATTTTATCTTATTTAATCTATTTTTCTTTTAATATGTATGAATAATAAATGTATTTACTTGAAAATATTATTATTAAATATTAATTATAAAGTCAATCAGCCTAAGTATTATTGAATACGTTTCAATATTTTTTAAGTTGACTCTTTACAAGGAACAGATAAGAAATGTTAAGCTGTAGTAGGTTTTTAATTTTGTTATTAATAAGGTTTAATTTTACCTTTTTTTAATAATTCTCTTAGATTATTACTTTGTTATTTATCTAGATTCATTAACATAGGTAGAATATCCATATCATTACTAAAATCTTTAGAAAAACTTGGTTAAGATTAAGGTTGTTTGAGTTACTTAGTCTTTATTCTTTGTCTACTTTAATTTCGATATTAACAACGATATGACATTATTTCTTAATATTAGTTTTTATCAAATATATTCTATGATTAAGTAGGTCTGTGAGTTTTGATTTATTATTGTTGAGTATTCTGTATTTTATTAATTTAGACATGAAATTAAAACTTAAGACTAGTGGATTCTATTCGTTTTCTATTCTATTAATCAATAAGTCTACTATTTAACCAATTTGATTTGATTTACTTTTTGTTTAATAATTATTATTTAAACCAATAGTATCGTTAACATAATATGTTTATATCAGTTATTTTAACACCATATAATTTACATTTAGTTGTTGTAACACATTTATATTAATATTGATGACTATCAAATGATTCTTCTCCTAATAAACATCCTTAATTGACACGTGCCAAAGCATTATGATCATCATTAATTTGACATTCTCCTGAAACAAGAACATAAATATATGTTAATTATTATCCTTTTTAATAAATTGTATTATTAGGATTATATTTAAATTTTATAAATTTACTCATAAGAGTTTTTACTAGTTAATGCATTTCAGTTTCTGATTCAGTAATTTCACTTACAAATCCAGCTTCTAATTATCTATATATTTTTGATTATTTTTATATTTTTATTTGATTTTCTACATTTTAATAATCACTTAAATTCATCTATATGATTACACAATCAGATAAAGCAAGAAGCAAAGTGTTATGTTTTTTCAATACAAGATCATTATTTAAGAGTTCCCCTTCTTGAAATAAATAAGTTTATTTAGTACTACAAACACATTAACTTAATAAATATTAAAAATATGATTCATTGTGTAGTTTAATTCCTTTTAAAAGTTAATCTAATTCTAAATTTAAAGACTATAAATATGATGGTGGTAATTGAGGAAAACGATTATGTCTTATACTATTTGTTCTTTTTAATTCTACCTTTTATGGTATTTCACAAACTTATGCTCTACGTAATCTTGGTTAATCATTAATTGCAAAAGTTAATAAACCATTTTGCTAGTATGTTGCAGTAACTCTTCTACCTGGTCTTTCTATAAAAATATCAGATTTGTATTATTTTATAAGTAATTTTCTTTTTTCTTCTAATTCACCTTCTGAGATTTCTTAATACTATTATATTGAACCTTAATATAGGATCATTATTTTATCTTGTCTATCATTAAATTTCCAAATCAATGAACCTTTAAAATAAATGTATAATAAGTACCAGACTCATAATTTGTCAATACTGCATTTTGGGCCATTACACGAAGCAATGCTTTATAAAGCTTAGTTTTTGTTTGGTTATGCAAAATATCAAAATATTACAAGCAAATCAATTGATCTTCAATAGCTTGTTGATCTTTACGACATCTTTCTTCTGGGTCTTTTTGTAATAAATATATTAACATATAATTAATCAATGTAAAGTAACTAATATTATTATATAGAAAATATATTTAATATTGCTTAAATTCTTACTTAAAAGATTATCTTAATGGCTAAGTGTTAATCTATAATTAGTAAATATTTAAATTTAAATTATTTTCAAAGTTTTTTTAGATAATAAAATTAATTTTCATAGTATCACATCTTATCAAATCAATTAATTGTAAATTTTTTAGAGTTAAAGACTTAGATTTTGTTGCAAGAGGACTTTCAAAAATAAGTTTTATTATCTACAGTAAGTTCTGATTTTCTACTTTTTCAAAAATTAAATTGAATAATCATTATTCTGTGAATTTGATTCATTAAATAAGATAATAATTATTTTAAATGAATTTAGAAATATTCTATATTTGAATAATTATTAGTTGAATCAATAGATATGAATTATGTAAAATTCATATATAAATATTTATAAGATTTCCTAATGATTAAAAGAAGTTCTAATATAAGTTTGAGATAACTACTATTATTAAATCTTTTTTCATTAGATTAAAGCTAAATATAATTAATTTTTCTTAATATTCATATTAGTTCTATTTTATTGGATATTATATGATTGTTTTAGATAGTATTTTAGAATGATTCTTTAAATATTTTTTAAATAAACTTTAGGTTTTATGATCAGATTGAGGATTTATTAATCATCCATAATCTTAAGTAACCATTCTAATATCTATTTCTAAGTTAATAATTTATAGTTTAAAGGTTATTTTTCTATAAGGATTGAATAGTTGACAAATTTAAAAGTATTTTCCTAATGAAATATTTCAAATATTTTAATGATTTATTAATCTAATGAGAATGATTTCTTTTTAATGAATAATATCAAATATAAGAGTGTATTTAAAATTCAAAAAATAATTATATAAAGAATAAATTTCTTTTTGTATAAGTTTGTATATATTACTTATTGACTTGATTTATTTTGAAGAAATCATATAATTATTTATTAATTATTTATTTATGCCTATTGTATAAGGAAAAGCAAAATTGTGGCATCCAACATAAGAAGAATAAGTAGATTATTGTTATATATTAAAAGGATGCATATGATGATAAAATGATTGCCAACATTGAATTGAAATCATTAGATTTTGATGATGAAAACTTTTCTCCTGTATTTAATAGAAGCAAAAAAGAATTCTTCTTATAGGCAAGTGAAAGATATAAGAAAGATTTATCTAAAGTAATTATGAATATTAAAAAAATTAAATAGTTAGCCAGACCATTTTAATCATATACATGCGAAGAGTTTGTTAATAAATACATTTTCATTAAACCAAATCACACTTATTGGAGAGAATGGACAGTTACAAAATGGATGTCAGGATTTGGTTTGGGATATTTGGTTTTAAGAGAAGTATAAAAATAATTTGAATTTAGTTACCACTACGTAATTTTTATGCAAGAGTTTTTGTTATGTGGATCTTTTTAGCAAAATTAAGTGATCACTTTACTTCAATTCTACCATATCATGGTAAAATGGTTATATCTACATAATCTGATAGATTTACTAAGTAAATAATAAATAAATATCTTATAGTAAAGATATCAATCAATATCATAATGTTTGCAGTGCATTAAACTTTTTAGAAATGCCAACATTTTAGAATAGAATTTCAGAATCTCTTGCTTGGAGAGCTAAATAACCAGCTCATTTATTATATAATGATACAAATTGGTGTTTACATATTCTTAAAAAGTGGCATGGTCGTTCAACACATATTGCTCATTGGGTATTTATATAATTATTATATAATAGGATGGTACATTCAATCAACCCTTAGAAAGATTAGCAGATCCATACCATAAAGATGCCCATTTCATCCATTGGATTTGAGAGTATATGCATAGAAATAAATACAATTATTATTGTCATTATTATTTATTATAATGAGTGCTAGTGTTGCAAATGATCTATCAGATAGAGAAATGATTGAATTTTCAGAAGATGAACAATTGACATTCTTTTTTAATATAGATCAAGTACTTTATTCAATGACTTTAAGGTTTATAGTGAAATTCCAGGAGTTTTATAAAATTATGGTACTTTTGCATAATCACTTTAAATTTGTCGCTAGCTTTCCAATCTCATTATAAAAAACTCTATAGCTGATGCATAAGAGAAAGTAAGATTCTAAATTTATAATAAAGTTTATCCTTAGAAATATTCCTATTAATGCTATTAATGAAATTGAAGCTGAAACCAAACTTTTGTTGAATGCTAAATTAAATGATGGTGGAATAGAAGTTGAATCATGTGATTTAATTGAAGATCAAGAACCAGTATTTAATTATTTTATATAAAAGGACCCTATCTTTAGTGATAGATGGAGAAGAAACAGAATTTAAATGATAATTGGTATTTAATATCTAATTAAATCATTTAGAAGAGGAAACTCATGAAAATGATTAAAATGATGAAAAATTAACAACTGATCCCAATAAGATTGTATCTAAATCAAGACTCTATGATACTAAGAAAACCACTGTTAGACTTCCAACTACACCATAACCAAAAAATTAGATTGAAGCTAAATTAATCTAAATATTTTAAGAAGAATATGAAGATGAATTTGAAGATAAGTTAAGAAATGCTAAATTATATGAAATGAAAAAGAAAAATGAAATTGAATAAAAGAAAAAAGAAGATAAATTACAAAGTTAGGTAATTATATATATATATATATTTAATTTAGATTGAAAAAAAAGATGGAGGAACACAAAAATATACTTATGATTTTGATGGTAAAATTCTTTTGGCTAGGGCTGTTAAAATGGATAAATTATAACCAACTAATCAAAAATTAAAAGTTGAATTTAAAGAATCTTCAAAACCTGATCAATAATAATAACCAATAAAAAAAGGAGGAAAAAGGGATTCAACAAAAATTAATAAGCCATAATGTCCTGAATAGGAAATACCTAATAGAGTATATTATTAACACATAAGGTTTTATAAGAACGCAAAGATGCTACAAAAGAAGTTATAGGAGATAAAGCATTAAGAATTGACAAAACATCATAATTTCCTTATGAAGTCTTTACAATGAATAATGGAGTTAAATTGTACTATGAACATAAAATGAAGGAAGGAGTAAGACATTAAATAAGTGATTCTGCAGAACATTTATAATACAAATTATCAGGCTCAAATTTACTCTCTGGAGATGATGCATCTTAATTTGCCTCTTAAATTAGATTAACTAGAGCTGAATATTAATTGATAACAGATGCCTAAACTTTATAGGCAACTAAATCTTAGTTTATGCCAAGTGAAAATAATCATTTACAAGATCATGATTAATAAAATACTCAATAATCAATTCTATTAAAAAAAAAATTAGGTGAAATTGGGAAAACAGAACTCCCTTAAGATAGCAAATAAGTTTAGTTTAACACTGGATCTAATTTATCAAAACCTTTAAAAAAAGAAGTGCCTTCCTAACAAACTTCTCAAACAGAAAGAATTCAATTAAAGAATGTCAAAATGATAGAAAATTTAATAGTAACTGCACTGCCTGATACTCCTAAATCATCTAAATAAGAATTACCTTTACCATAAATTCCAGATGGAGTTTCAAAGTAAATTCAATACTAATCTAACTAGAAATCCTATTGATATTTTCAATTAATAGTTATTAACTTAGAAAGAATGGGGTAAACAAATAGGAGGTAAAACTACATACTTTCCTCCAGTTCGGCAACAAAAAAGATCATTAGAGACCAAAGCATATAAAGGAACTTTAGAATAAATGTAATATCTATCTATTAATATTGTAAAGTTATAAAATGCCAAGAGAAAGACTTGTAGCTTAAACAGGCAGAACAGCTATGAACTTTTATAAATCTAATCAGGACGGTAACTAATTTGTTATATTTGTAGGATAAAAGAATATAACCAAATCTCTTAGTGAAGGATTGTAAACATTTTATACAACTCATTCTAAATTTAGTGATAAACTTAGATAATGATTTTATTATATTTTTATAATTATTGATATAAAAACCTTAATTTACTATTAAAAATATAAAAAATGGACATTTTTCTTTATTAAAATGATTTACACAATCCAACCAGAAAATAAAATGAAAACAAAGTTCCAATATGACACTTTTTGTTTTTAATACATATATTACACAATATCTTAATTATTTTAGCTACTTAAAACAAGTTTAACAGAATTTCTTAATAATTTTTAAGGAAGTTGATCTATTCATATATTTTAATCTTGTTTTTATTACCATTATTATATTAAATAATAGATTAATTGTATGTAAATTAAGGATATTATTGTAATTTTTTTTAGAATTTTTATTAGAGAGACATTATATCAAAAAGTATGTTTAATAAAAGTAACATTAAAGTTTAAGAAATCATGTTAATTGTTAATTATTTAGAGAATATATCTTAGAACTTATAATAAATATTTAGATTATGGATTTTTTAGTAATTATTCTTTTGATAAGTCTAAAGTGAGAGAGATATTGTGTATTTTCTCTTTAATAAATATATAATAAAATCTTGAGAATTTGATAAAAAGTTCATAAAATCCATAGACTGCATTAGAAAAACAACTAATTTTTTTATATTCATTATAATAAAATGAATTTGTAATAATTAATGGAAATTGAAAGTAAATTTGAGCAACTCTCTATTATTCCAATTTTTGATGAAATCCTTAAGTACACATTAAAATTAATAAGTGGTGGAATATAAACTGGTATATTGACAGAATTATATGGTGAAGCAGGCTGTGGTAAAACACATGTTTGCATGACATTGATGATTAATACTATAATAAATTATAAAACCTCGAGAGTGATTTACATTAGTACAGCTAAATAATTACAACAAGATCGTTTTAATCAGCTATTATGTATAATTAGTTATGTTATTTGGAATTAGAATATCGTGTAGGTAAGAAATCTAAAGATAAGTTTACTAATTTATTTAACAAATGTATTATACAACATTTAAACAATACTAAATTTATGGATGAATATATATATGAGCAATTACCAACTTTATTGGAATAATATTAATTCAAATTAATTATTATTGACAATATAACAACTTATTTATAGGAATTGTAATTGACCTTAAATTAGATGTAAAAAACATCAATACTAAAGAAATTCTCAAATCATTTGAGAAGACTAGCCAAAAAACACAATATTGCTGTTTTATTTGTGAATAATGTTGTGGCTTCAACTTAAAATAATAAATTATATCCAGCCTTAGGAATAAAATGGTCTGAGATGATTGATGAAAGAATATAAGTAGAAAAAAAAGGAATGATCCGCCATTTTAGAATTGATATTTCTCATCGTGTTGCTTTAGATGATGCCACATTCACTATATAAGAAAGTGGAATATATCCTTAAGTTGATTGATTTAAACATTTTCCAATTAAATTAAACTTATCTACTTTGTTCTTATTTTTAATTCTAGATTAATTATTTAGATTAATTAGATTATATTTATATAAAATAATTTTATACTTTTACATTTGAAATTTTAATCTATTATCTCTTTCAAAATATGGAATATTTTTGAATTTTTATAACTTGAATTTTATAGAATCTTAATTAAATATTGATTATTATATTTAAATGTAAAAGCTATTTTCAAGTGATTATTTGGTTAAAATTTAACAAATAAATTCAATTATCTAATTTTAGATGCACATAAACAATTTTATTTTTCAATTAATAATAAAAAAGGATAAATTTAGATATTCTTCTTAGATTAGATAATCTATCATAAAATTATATACATTATTTTTGATATCTTATAAAGGTTACATTGATTTTTTTTAATTCAGGTAAATATTTAAATAACGTTAATAAATTTGAATAAATATATTTTTTAATTCATTTATTCATAATTTTTTGATAATATAATTAATGAAAACATTAAGATACTAATAGAATATTTCTTTTAGCATAATTACTTACTTTTATTATAATAAGGTAATTATTTATAGAAAGGAAAAATGGATATTTTATAATTGAAAGAAATTAAATTTATAGATGACTATTAAATCATCTAATAAATTTAGAGACTAGATTAATAGCTTCATAGAAGTTTCAATGGATGAAGAATTAAAGATATTAAGCATTATTATCCTTTTTAGATAATTGATTTGATAATTTTAATATAGTAACTAATAATATTAGGAATAAATTTGAAATAAAAAGTCTTATTAAAATAGTTTAGTAATGACTTATAAACATTAATGTATTAATTTATGGAATAATATGTAATAGATTTTATCTCAATCTCTATTTGCTATTAAATTCAAATAATGATCAACTTGTTCATTTGTTAATTTATGGAACTTCTTATCTTATTTAGTCACAATACCTACTTCAATGTCAGTTGGCTTAAAGTCTTATGAAATTACCTATAATATAAAATAAAGTTTACATTTTATAATGTTTATATAGCAAGCATAATGGTTTCATCATAATTTAAATCTGCCTTTTTTTTGATTTATTTTTCTAAATAGTTGATTGACTCTTATTCTTTTACACCACTAGCAGTTGCCTTATAACCACTATAATGTCCTGATGGATCAAGTTTATATAATAATGGACCCAATTCATCATCATATTAACATAATATAGTCTCAACACCATATGATCTCATTTAATAATATTGAGTATTGGTTTATGCTAAATCAGCCATTCTCTTTGACAATACATCAACTGGACAATAGTAACCTAAAAATATCAATAATAATAATAATACCATTTTTTAATCTAAATTCTCCTGCTTCATATCTCATTCTTGTAACAAGAGCTCTAGCATCTGATGGAATGCCTGTAGTTAAGGCACCAATTTTTTCTGATACATTATATAGATTTGTGACAGATTTCTCGTCAATTAATTTATCTGGCACTCTTTTTTCTGTAATCAAACAAACTGTATCAGTGCCTTTGACTCCTATTGATGTTAATCCACTTGTTTTCACTGCTTTGAAGGCATATTCAACCTAATATAATCTACCTTCTGGTGAAAAGAGTGTTATATAGAATTCATGACCTTGGCTTCCTCTACTCATTTTAATTAAATTATCCTAATCTCAAAAATTAAATAATAATCATTTTTTAGTTTATGCACCTCCTTTTTTTTGAGAAGAGTTAAAAGTGTTTGAATTGTAAATGATATTTAAATTTTAAATCTTAATTGATTAGGGTTGTTTAGCTATAGCAAATTATTATTGACTAAATTAAGAACCTGAAATTTTAATTTTATTTGTATCTGAAACAAAACCTACTTTTGTATCTTTATACTATGGTATCAATTTGTCAATAGACTGCTAACACTTAAACTAAATATAATACCGTTTTCTTCATACTTTATTATTAATGTTATTGTATTTATTATTATTATCCTTATTCTTATTACTATATATTGTAAGCATAAGCTGTACTTTACATATTTAATTATTGTCCCAAATAATTAGGTACTTTAAATGATGTCTATTTAATTATATATCTAAATATACTTTAGTTCTTATCACATTTTATTAACTGGTTGGTGATTATGCTGTTCTATTTACTCCAGCACTTACTTATCTTTTTTCTTATTCATTTTATAGATTCAATTCTTTCATGAATTCAATTGCCTCTGGTAAATCTTCAAAATATTAATGTTTTAAAGCTTATCTGCATGTTAATCTCTCTGATGGTTCCATCTTTAATAATCCCTTTACAAAATTTATTGCTCTTTTAGGTAATTTACATAAATATCTATAAAAATCATTAAAAATAATAACCTTTATTCTAAGGTTTCAGGTTTAGAGATTTCAGGAAATTTCATTCCTAAAAATCTTGGGTTCTTTGAAAATGTTTCTTATTAACTAGGAGTTAAAGGTCCAAGCATTTTTTAGATTAAATATAGTTAATCCATCTCATTCTCTCCTGGAAATAATGGATTTCCATCTGTTAATTCACATAATAAACATCCAATAGCCCTTTAATTATATTAATTATTACCACATATCAACACCTTTATCATAAATAGAATAACTTAATAATAATTCAGGAGCTCTATACCATCTAGTTGCTACATAATCAGTAAGATCCTAAGTTTATGCTGTCAATGACTTAAAATTGATATTTATTTTACTCTGGCAAATCCAAAATCACATAATTTCAATACATTAGCATTACTTATAAGTAAATTTTCAGGTTTGATGTCTCTATGAACTATATCATGTTAATGACAACAGTATATAGCTTTTAGAAGTTAAAAGATAGTTTTTTTAATATACAAAGGCTAAACTTTAATATAATAACATACTTCTAATCCAGAAGGTGATGCTTCCAATACTTCCAATAAATTTCTTTCTACATACTCAAATACTAAATAAATTCTTCCCTTTCTAATAATTATTATACTAATTTTGAACCTTTTAAATGCTTCCTTTAATTCTACAATATTTACATGTCTCAATAATCTTAACACCTTTACTTCTCTTTAAATGCTCTTCTTAACAATCTCATTATCTTCTGTTTCCTTAAATTTCTTTATTGCCACTTTTATTATATACACAATTGTACCTATTTCATTTGTTTCCTTGTTTTTGCATTTTAAAACTACTCCATAAGCACCTTCCCCTACAACTCCTAAAACTTCATATTTATTCATTTATATTATTATTAATTGTTTTATTAAAAGGAAATAATAATCAATTGATTTCGTATGAGAAACATAAGTAAATCAAATATAATCCAAAAATATATCTATTTCAAAACTGAAAAGTATTATATGTAATCAAGAAATCTCATTTAAAAATATAAATAAAACTTTTGACATAAAGAATTAATAATGAAACACTTAGTATAATGCTATTAAAATCTAAATATATAATCATAGATATAAAATTTTCATATAACATAATATGTATAAATTATGATTTTTACCAAAAACTAAAATTTATAAGATTGTGATGATGGATCAAAACTTTTGTAAGTTAAGAACATACTGATGTTTTAATTCATATATAAAGAGATAATTTCCAATTTAAATTACTAATTTAATATGAATTTTGTTGATTGTAATGAGAAATGTGGAAGTGAATTTATGATATAACTTCAAATTATTATACATCCGCATGATTATTTAGTTTCTTGAGCTGGTGTTTCTAAATTATAATTCTTCCAATTTTCTACTTCATGCACTTAAACAAGAGAGTGTTTTTTATCAATCTCATCAATAAATGAAATTTTATGTTTCTTGGATCCTTAGATAATATTACTTTTAAATTTATCTTATCTTTGAATTGCTAATTCTTATTTAGATCCTTTCATAATACCATTTTTTTTTGTATCCATCAAATTATTAATATTAATATAAATGATCTAATTTTTAATATATAATCATCAGAATGTATTTTATTTTTATAATTTTTTTCGCAACTTCCTCAAAGTGTTTTACAATTCTTCTAATAATTATATTTGATAACTGTAAGGTATCATTTTCTAAAATTTCACAATATTTAAACATGACATACTTTAATAACTTAATGAATATTTTATTATTACTTTAAATAAATAATTATATATATATATAAATGTTTACATAAACTCAATTTATATAAAATATTAAAGTATGCGATAATACTTTTTAAGGTAGTTTGTTATTTTTGAATTATTTTATATGTAAAAATAATGAATTAGCTTTAAAGATATTAATTTAATAAATTAATAATTAAAAATTAAAAAATTGCTTGAATTAAAACTATCTTATAAATAATCAAAATTCTTCATAATCTTCTACTTCAAGTAATTAACCACTTTCTCTTTGATCATATTCATAAAATGCTTTAGCATCTATTAACATACTAATTATAATGTCTCCTTGACCACAATTTTATAAATCTGTTAAGGTGATAGCAGTTGAAATAGCTGGTTTAGCCATATCGAATATTTCATCTTTAACATCTTCAACATTAAAACCAAATTTATCCTTATATAAAATATTAAATGTTTACTTTATGCTCTAATTTTTAAATAATTGGCCTAAAAAACATATTGATGACAAAAGAATCAATTGCTGGTTTATGATAAACATTTAATATTCTCCAGAAATATTATATTGCTTATTGACTTTTCTTATTTTCCATAGCAAGTACAAAATCTATAGTTATAAATATTATTAATACCTAAAAATGTTTTATAATCCATTTCACCTTCAAATGTTTAATACTCTTCAAATACTCTATCAATAAATATATCTGTTAAACCCCATGAATATTTAGATAATTCTGATTTTGATAATAAACCATTATGATCATTATCCAATTTCAAATATCTTTCATAAACTTTTAAGGCTGATTATTTTGAAAACCAATTTTAACCTAATTCTTCTAAGGTTAATTTTTCTTATCTTAATTCATATAATTCAGCTAAGATTGGAGATGTTAACATATCTTTAATATATATTCTGCCTGTTCTTTTAGAATCCAAAAAGAAAAAGAATTTTCTTACAGCTGTAATCACATAAAAAGGATAAAAGTTTTACTAAATGTTAAAATAACACTTGATCTTACATCTAATTTTTCTAATTAAGGAAATGTAGGTATTAATTCAAAAATATAATTCTCAAGATCTTTTTCTCTTAAATATCCATTTCTATATATATAATATACATTAAAATACCCAATAGAATCATACAAACTAATTTATATTCTTGTTTAAAATAGATTAACTTTTCTAACTATTGAATGAAAGAATGCAACAATATCTATTCTACCATATTCATCCCTGTCAAATTTTAAAAAAGTAGATGCACTAAAAAAATGTCTACATTTAATAGGTAATAATGAAGCAATTGTTAAAAATGAATTATAATTAATTCTTTCTTTCTTATCATCTGGTGGTGATATATTATTTTTAAGTTCTGTCCATAATTTTTCTAAATCTTCTTTATCTAAAATTTCACCAGTTTTATGATTCAAAAATCTTGTTCTTGCTTCTTATCTCACTCTGAAACTTAATTAATTTTCATTTGTAACTGAAGCTTTTTAGAAAAACTTTGGTATCTTCTTATAACTTGGATCTTCTTCTTATTCCTATTAAATTAGACTGTTAATTATACTTTCTTTCTTGCCTATTCAATATAATCTAAAAACTATTAATCAGTTTCATCATCTATTTCTTATGCAGTTCTTTATTATTTAGAATCAACAAACTTTTTCAAAGTACTCACCCAATCAATACCCTTTTTAGACATATTTATTTGAATTTTTAGTTAAAATATTTATTTATATATTATTGAGGTTTTCATTTAAATATTTAATCAGAAATATTTCTCCTTCCTCCTTAAAACTCAAATTCATTATTGGATTCAACTACTTAACCAGATTCAGGATAAACATTTCGATATTTTGGTCCTGTTTATGGTTCATTTTGAACTTCTTAATTATTTATCACCTTCTTCATTCCAAATACAAGACCTATTCAATATTAAATAATAGATTAACCATATAATAAAGGAGTTTATTTAGAATTATTATCTTCTACAATTTTCAATTTTTTTGTAATGAATCCTCTATCAAGCATTTCTTAAGGCATTCCTGCTTCTGAACTAAAAACACTTGTAGTTTAACTATAATGATTATATTCCATGTATTCTCTAATTAAATCATTAATTATCATATTTTCTAATTCAAAATCCAAATATACCCATGGAAAGTTTAGGTTTGTCTTCTGGGTCTTCATTCAAAGCATTAAATATCTCTGCTCTTATTCTTGCTCTTAATTGAGATAAAACTCCTCTTGATTCAAGAGTTTCTTTCAAAGCATCTTTCATTTCATTAATTGTTGTCATAATTTTAATTAATAATATGAGAAAGCAATTCTCATTCAAGCCCCTATCAACTCATAACGATAATTAAAATTTATAAACAAAATCAGACTCAATAGGTAGATTTCGCTCTATAATCCCTATTCGTAAAATATAAGCCACCTGCTAATTTCTAAAAATGAAACAAGATTTATCACTTGAATTTCCACAAATCCCAATACAATTCAAGAATCAAATTTCAAAAAGGAAAATCTTTACAACAAAACCTCAATTCAATACTCATTTCCCTATCAAAGAAGATCTAAGTTAATTTTCAAAAAAGATCTAATAAACAATCAAAACAAGCTTTAAGAAATGTTTATATTAGAATAAATCAAATAAAGTAATTTATTCAAATGAACTTTCTACTGTCCTTTATTTCAATGTAACTGTTACATATGAAGAATAAGAAACATCTTATTAATTTATTCGCCGTTTGGGAAATATAGAAAAAACATAATAGGATAGTAGCAAATAGTTTAAAGCGAAAAATCTTCTAAAAATTGTAGGAGTCTTTGAAAAATATGATACAAGACAGATTTTCACTTTTAAGGTATTTATGCTATGATTTAAGATTAGAAGTTTTTATAAAATGTATTTACAAAATTAAATTGAATGGAACTATCAACATTTTTATGATCTTTATCCAAATTCATAGTTTGTAGATAATATATGTGATAAAAAGAATAAATTAATCTCTCGATTAACATTTTAATTTGATTAAAAAAATGAATTATTTAAATTACACTAATAATTTTGTGGAATTCTAAGTTTAGAAATAATAAATAATTAACAATTAAACTTTATAATTGAAAATGACTATGAAGATGATCAAAATCAAACTTGTATTAAATTAATTTAATGCAATAAAAAAATTAAACTATTCAAATCTCATCTATAATGTATAGTAAATAGACTAGATAATGAGACATAAAATAATTTACTTACTGAATAGGAAGATCACTCTTTTACACTTTCATATTAAAATCCTTAACATTTTATTCGACATTTGTAATTCAAAGTTCCAGATTAAAATTGTATTGCATTTAGATTTTATAATAATTATTATGAAATATTAAATGGTATATTTGAGGATACTCATGAAATATTAAATTTATAAGATAATATTACAATGCTTGAATTTGAAGAACCTTAAGAAAATCATAAAACTACTAAAATGATATAATCAGTATAATAACAATAAATTCAACCAAAAAAATTGAATTTTGAATCAATAATGAAAAAATCTAAACATTAACCTTCTATTACATAAGAAATATCACCAAGAAGTGATCATTCTTAGATAAGTTCTATGAGAACTCCTAGAGAAGGTTAATTATTACCTGTTTTAATGAAACCTTAACTTGAAAATAATAAAATTAAATTAAGAACTAGTCCTCCATCTTATGATGACAATATTAGTAATTCTAATAATAATCAACAATATTCTACTCATCATTCCAAAACTGTTTCGTAAACAGACATGGTCTCTATTAATACACCAAGATCATAAAGAACTTCTTTAGCTATTAATTTGTCTCTTAGAACATCAATGACTAAAAATTCCCTTAAAACTAGAACATTAGTAGTGGAACAATTTAAGAAATCATAATAAAAAGCAAATCAATTAGCTGGTTTATTAATTTAAGAAAATAAATACAATGAAGTATAATTTAAATTAATTATTATTAGCTTGTTGAATTATTTAATAATAATCCTAATTTAAGAATAGATGAAAGAATATCTAATGGAAATACTTATTTAATGTTAGCTGCTTAAGGAGGCAATTTAGACATCTGTGAATTAATTCTGTCTAAAGGAGCCTCTGTAAATTTATAAAATGTATTATTATTAATAGTAATTATTAAAGTTACAAGGAGACACTGCTCTACATAAGGCTTTCCAATATGGCAATTTCAGTGTTGCTGATCTTTTAGTATCTTATGGAGCATAAGTAATGGTAAATTACAAAGGTAAGACTCCTTGGTAATTGTGAATAATTTACTTTTATTCATTATTAAATACAATATAACTTAATGTTATGATGACTACTCTTAAAAACAATATATTTTAATAATTTTCTTATAGGGTAAGTTAATTTTAAATCTTAAAGTTCAAAATATGGTTGTAATTAAGATTATAATAAAATTAATAAATGAATCAACAATTTAGAGTGGAATACTTGAGAATCAAACCTTATCGGTACCGTAGATTACCCTCACTTAATGCCACAGGCAGTCAAATTTTCAAGTACAGAGAGAGTTATAGGTTAGTCTCTCTTAAGAAATGGTTACATCGAGAACTAAGAAGAATTTAGTAAAACCGATGCTGGTATACATGCTGATTATTCTCTAAGTAAGCTCTGTCACACAAAAAAGAGGATAGCAAGAACTTCTATCATCATTCTACTATCTACAATGTAAAAGAGTTTAAGGAATTGAGCAAACTTTAAGAGTAACTATATATTATGATATTTAGTTATCAAGAACCTAATCTCACTAAATACACAGAATTGTAGACTAAAATAATGGTTGCTGATTTCAAAAAGAAAGTAGATGCATTCCTATAAAAAAACAATTACAAGACAAATATGATTGGTAGTAAAATAACTTCTTCATTACATGAATTGGAATCATTTCAATCTACAAGTAATGAAGAATAGCTTAATAAATCTCTTTGTTCTAATAAATATACAATTAGAACTGAATGTAATTAATCCTAATTTTTTTAGATAAATCAATGAAAGCAACAGAAATACTTGTAATTAGTAATAATAAGGTTGTCTCGAGATAGATTATATCAAGTGAATTAATTCAACAAAGATTGCTTAAATAAATGGAAAAATTTCTTAAAGATGATAGATATAATTATGATCTAAAGTACCCATATATTTTTATTAGAATGCAAACTATGATAGATTAATATGAAGATATTGTCAATAAAATTAGACAGTAGGCATATACAATTAAAATTCCATAAAGTTATGAAATTTAAATGAGTGACTACAATGAGTTTTATTATAAAAAAGAAGAACCTTAGATTCCATCTTTAAATGATAAATTGGAACTTTTGGCTGATTAGATCATACAAGAAATCTAACAATCAAGACAATCTACACCATAAATGTAAAATCAAATTAATGAAGAGTAACAGGAAGATAGTTCACCATATATTGATGAGGTAGTTAAAACTGAACCTGTTTATTCAAAAGAAGAAGAAATTGCAAATTTAAATAATGAATAAGTTTGTGATAGAAAAATATCACATAGAAAAGGAAAGCCAAGAAAAAAATAATAATAATTATAATAATAATAATAAAAATAATAAAATGAATCTACATCTGATAATAATAATTAAAAATCTTAATAGTCTAGCTAATCAGAATTACCTGATATTTCTACTTCTTAATAATTTCATCATTAAAGAGAAATAAGAGAGAAAAAAAATAATTAATAAATTTAATAACCAATTTAAATTTAATAATAAATTAATGTTAATACTGAAATTGAATATTAACATGAAAATTAACAACCACAAAATCAACATATTGTTTAGAATAATAATAAAAAGCATCAAACAATAGATAAATAAAAAGGAAAGGTTCACTCAAGAAAAATAACAGGAGATACTGTTGGTTAAAGATAAGTCCCTATATTTTTAGAAGTTCCTAAAGAATAAATTTTAGAGGCCTTAAGTGAAAAGTCATAAGATGAAACTTAATAATTTGAAGAAGTTTAAACTAAAAAACAGTAATCACCAAAATAAGAGTAGAATGAAATTAAATAATAAGTAGAAAATTTAAAATTAGATGTTTAAGACGTTTAAAATGATTAAGAAGAAGTAAATTAATAAATTGATCCCCCTGTAATATAACCAATTATTTAAACAATCTCAAATAATAAACCACTACGCAACTAAGAATAAAGAGATGCTGTTGATTTATGGGATAATAGTATACCTTCAGTAATCAAACCCACTCCTAAACCTAAACCAGTTTAATAAGAGATTAAAAATATAGAATAGAAATAAGAGGAAAATAATGATGTCAATTAGTAATAAACAGAGGATATAATCTTAAATTAACGAAAAGACTCAATAAATTCAGAAAAATAATAAATACAATAAGAAAATATTAATGAATAAACTTTAAAACCTAATCCAAGTTTAGATATATCATAACCTTAATAAATTAAGGAAGATTCTTAAACTAAATCTATAAAATAAGAAAATAAGCCAATTGTTACAAAGAAAGTTTAAGATTAAAAAGAAATAAACTCTATTATAATATAAAAATAGATCGTTGAATAAAAAGAATAATAAGTAGATGATCATAATAAAGTTGATTATTAATAGATTATTAATGAAAAAATGAAATTAATTGAATAAAAACTACAATAACCTTGTCTTGATATCATAGATATTTTATTAGCTTCGGATTTAGTATATAATGTAAATATTGAAAATTATAAAATCTCCAAAACATATAAAAAGTAAGTAAATCATCCAAAATTTATTTTTGAATAGAAGGATGAAGAAGAAGTGTTTTCTCATTAGTAAATTCATTATTTAATTTAGGGTAATTTGGAGACATGAATTATAGGAAGTAATACCAAAATTGTAAAATTTAAATAAACAAATTGAGATTCTAATTGATGAAAATGATGACTATAAAGAAAATAATTGTTAAAAAATAGAAGAAGAAAATGATGAATCTGATAATTGATTATTATGACTAAATATCTATTGTTATTAATTCGATATCATTTTTAAATGTGATCATACATATTCCATATGAATTTATACTTTGATTTATACAAGTTTAATATTTTAATGCTTATATTGAAGTATGCATAAATATACAAAGAATTTTTGATCATATTTATTAATAATTCTGATTAATTATTATTTTCAGAGTCTTAGATTATGAGTTATTAATATCTACTTTAGATTAATCAGAATCCTAATCATCGTCTTACCTTTAAATTTGATTATTTAAATCAATTTTTATTGTATTATTTACATCCAAAAATTATAGATCTTGCCTAATTATTTAATAAATATATAATCATAAAAAGTAATTAAAATAAAGTCTAAATATAATAAAGGAAATTTATTAAATAATATTTAGTTTTAGAAACACTTTTATTATTTAGATTTAGATTTATTTCTCATATTTAAACAATATTTATTTCTCAAATCAATATTATTAAATTTATTGTTAAGAGATATAATTATATCAATAATAGTTTAACAATTGATCATATTAAAATATTCATAATTATATAAATATTATATATTTTCCTAAAAAATATCATCAATTTACTTTTATAGTAAACAGAATAGTTAGATATTTGTAAGTATGAGACTATTTATTACTTAAATATAGGAATATGAAAATTTTATAATTTTTTTTATAAAATGTAAGACTTATATAATTTTAAATACAAAAATTTGTGAAAATTAAATATTCTTAGGGAGAGAAAATTCATTGAATAAGTTTAGATATTAATCAAATATTGATAATTTAGAATATCTTTAAATTGATATATAGATAAATAATACTATAAAATGATTAACAAAAAATAGTAAAATTGCATGTTAATAATTGAGAGATCGTTTAAAATAAAATAAAAAATATAGAAATGATTTTACAGTAAGAATAAGAAGAAGAAAAGAAAAGATAAGCATATGAATAGTTAGGAGATAATCCTACTGAAGTTGATATAAAATATGTTAGCTATTTATTAAAAATTCCATTACTTACAATACGATAATGGCTAGATGAAAAAGCAGGACTTGATGTTCAAATAGAAATTCAACCTGAAGAAGAGAAGGATGTGTAAATAATTGGTTTTGCAAAAAAAAAATTAAAATTGTAAAGTCTTCAAAATCTATAATTGAAGGAAGAGGAAAATTCATAATAATAAATATCTGATTTGCAAAAAAAAAAAAATAAAACTCCAGAATCTAAAGATAAACCAAAATAAAATAAAAAGAAAGAATTTAATAAGACATCCCTTACAAACAAAAAGATCTAAAAATTAAATTCTAAAAATTAAAATACTTAATATCCTCAAACATAAAATGACATTAATTTAAATTAATCTTAAAATGATGCACTCTAAAATCAAAATAATAAGTAAGATTAATAAATAGTAAATTAAAATGTTGAAACCTAATAGTAAAATAAATAAATTGAGTAAGTATCAAAACCACTAAGAATATGCATTTATAATTAAGATCAACTTAAAAAATAATCTTAATAAAAAAATAATGAAAAACTTTAAGCATTATCATAATCAAATTAAGCTTAATTAAATTCATCCACATAATCTGATATGAACTCAAATGTGCAATAGTAATAATAACTTTAAAAATAATTTTTGTAGTCAAATTCTTAAAAAACAAATACAATGTAATAACTAAATAATTAATAAAAATAACCCATAAATCAATAAACTAATTTTCAAAATAGTGATAAAATAAAGCAAATTATAGTATTAGATGATGATAATACTATGAGCTAAAGCAGTAATAGTAAAAACAAATAGGTATAATAATTTAAGTAATAATAATAACAAAAAGATTAAAATTAATAAAAGTTGACTTTAAACAATAATCCCATTTAAAAATTATCAAAAAATGATTCTAATAATCTAAATTAAAAAAATCAACTTTCTACTATAAGTTAATAAAATATAACTCAAAAATCAAATGAAATACACTTTAGCGATAATTCTGGATAAAATAAGATTTAATAATAAAATAATTCATTAGATGTTCAAGTGCCTGTTCATGAGTAATAGTAAAATTATAAAAATCAGATTTAAAAAGAAATAGCTAATAATTCTAATAATTCCTAATAATAATAAGAATTATTAAAATAAACTCCTGTATTTGATTCTAATAATTATTCTAATGCATAATAGGTATAATAAATATCATAAATAACTTCTAATTATTAAGATTAATAATAAAATCTTAGTGATATTTAATAAAATTAAAATATTTAATAAATTATAGAATAAAAATAAACAATTAATTGGTAATAATAAAACTTAAATTAGAATTAAAATGATTATCCTGAAAATCAATAAAAAATTTAAACATAAAGATTTGCAGGTTTAACTTCACCTCAATCAAATTATTTAAATCCAAATAATCAAAACTTACTTATTCCTTAGAAAAATTAAAATATAGAATATTTGATAACTAAACAAGCTTCAGTTACTTCTGAACTTAATTTAATTCAATAATAATTAAATTAAGCTTTACATCAACCAAATTAATAAAATTACGAAGTTAAATAAAAATATTATGGTTCTTATGATATTATTTCAATATTAAATTAGCATTCTTAAACTTTAACATAAGTAGTTTCAATGTTATCAACAATTGGAAATTTTTAGTTTTCTTTGATGGAAAGATTAAATCTGGTTTATAATTCAGTCAGCAAAAGTTGAGCAATAATATACATATACATATATTTAATTATTTATTATTATACAACATGGTGTGATTAAGATTAATTGAAGACTAATTTGATTTAAATATGAAAGTTTTTTTTATTAAGATAATATTTATATATTTATTTTGAGAAGATTAATTATATATTATGATTAGAAAGTTATTAGACTTAATTTACACTTATTCTTTAAAGTGAAATATATAGAAAATGAAATTATCATCCTGGAATAAGATTCTTCTTTTCTATAATATATATGTTAAGCAATTTAATGTATGATATTTATATGTGTACGTCATGATCAATGAATATTTTTCTTTCCTTTTCTTTTGGCTAATCTTGTTTCAAGACTCTTATTCTTTTTAATGGAAGGATCATTCTTAATAGCAAATCTTCTATTTTTGGCGAATCTTTAATTGCACTTTGATTAAAATTAAAAATTACTCCTTTTAATGTGCTATATCTTTGATTTGGAAGCTTTTTAATACCATTTTTGTGATGTTTACGGGCATTATGATGAGAAGTAGCATTCTTAGACTTAGCCATTGATAATTTATTATTATTTAAAATATTTATTTAGATATTTCATTATTTTTAAATTCCTAAATTTTTTGTATACACCTATTACTCTATCCATTAAGCATCCTTATATGCTTGATTTTTTTGTTCTATTGTTCTCTCTAATTCTTTATAAAGACTTTATATTCTCTTAGTTTTAAAATCATTTGGTTCTGTTTTCATAATATTTATTTTTTCTTATTTCTTTTTATTTTAAATTGGTTTCTAAATTAGAATTTATTAAGAATTATCAATATTTTATTATGTTTATTATGTTTATTGTTATGGAATATTTGAATCTACTTTCAATAAGTGTTATTTACACTAAAAAATAAATAAAATTATAAAATACTTATCGATCATCTTCCCATAATAAATGTTTTTTGACTCCTTCAATTTTCTTAAGTTATTTAATTACATTTTGTATTTCATTTTTAAGTTATTATTCTATATCAGGTTCATCATTATTAATTTTTTAAGCTATTAAAGTCAAATTAGGAGAATCTTAAGATGTAACATGAATTTCTTTTTTAATTTATTATCTAGGAGAAATAATTGAAGGTGGAGACTTAATTTACTTTGTTATATTTTAAGAATTTGATAAATCTTTATCTTTTTAACAACTTTTAGAATTACTATTTGATTAATTCATTGGTTGAAAACTCTTTGCACTTCCATTTTCTTAGAAATTTTGGCATTCATTAGTTAAATTAAGTGATTCTTATTGATTTGATTAGATTGGAGATTTAGATAAAGAAGAAAACTTTTTTAATGTATGATATCTAGATGAAGATGGACTTATTGATATTTTAGGATTACTTGATATATTTTTAGAAAATTAATTGAAATCTTTAAATCGATTTAACATTTTTAAAGGTGTTTGATTTGTTGTAGATTAAATTTATTATTTATCTTCTAATTAAATTTATGTACGTTCATCCAATATTTCTTCTGAATCTTCTTAATTAAAATTACTACTTAATTTTGCTAACATATAAGTTTTTAATTGATCTTTGTTATTCTTTTGTGGAGTTCTTTATTGTAATTCATAGGTTTTATTAATTTTTAAGATTTTATGGAATTTATCATAATAATCAATGACGAATTTTAGAATTTATTATAGTTTTTCTGTTACAGTTTATGGATCATCTATATTAATATTTTGAGTATAATATTTCATTGCTTCTTTGATATTAGTTACATTTATTTTCTTTTTCAAAATATGTTATTAGATATTAATGAGTATTTAATAAATTGATTCATAATTCTTACAAAATAAACTTTAACTTGGTACCCATTCCCTTATTTATAAGAACAAATAATCTGTTGATATAGCTTTATCTAGACCTGCTACAATACAAAGTAAACCACATATACAATTATAAAGTTATTAAGTTGGTTTAAGTATAAAGAAGAAATCCTAAAAGTAATTGAATATTATTACTTATATTTCTTTATTTTGTATTGAATTTAGAGTAACAATGATATTTTAATGTAATAATTCTGTATCTTGAATAAGCTTTTAGTAATCAGAAGTTTAGATTGAATTCTATGTAATCTAAAGTTTTGTTCTTTCTATGAGTTCTTACATATATAAAATATATTATCATATTTAATAAAATCAACTAACTTGTATTCCTACTTTACACTCTTTTTTTCCTTAATTAATTAATTCAAATGGTTTTATTATATTACATGGTTATTTTAAAGGTATTTCATTAATACTGTGTTCTGTTTTACAAATTAATTTTCCCTCCCCTAATCCTAAGATCTCTTAATTAGTAACTCATACCACTTAGAAATTGTGTCTAAGTTCGAATTTTAATGATGTTTTAGCAGGTAATGTAACTTTGAAACTTACACGACCATTTTATTTCTTTACTAATTCAAAATTTGAACTCTATATTTCATATGCATTTTCAAAATAAGGAGATAATATAGATTATTTTATACTAGATAATGGCCATTATGGTAATGTAGGTTCATCAAATTAATATGGTTCTAATTATTTCATAAGAGAATTGAATATGCCATGATTTGGACTATACATATTATTTATAAATATTATATAAATATTTTGATCTATTCAATAATTATATTCATAAATAGAAATATATATAGTATTTAATCAATAATTTTGATTTCTTGGATATCTTTTCTTTAATTCCTCATAATCTATTTAGTAATTGTTTTCAATATGATATTTATTATAAACTGATTCAATAAATGTCTTTTATTTTTATTCTCTTTCTCTAATCTTTTCTAATCTACTAAGTTCCTTCACTTCTACATTTCTTAAATGTTTCCCTTCTTTTGGAGGTTAACCAAGATAAGTATCTAAATTAAGTGATTACTCATAAATCAATAGTTATTAAAAGAACTCTATTTAAATTCAAATAATACAATGTCTAACTTATGCAAATGGATTCTAAATTTTTACAATTTCCCAAGCTCTCTCAACTGTAAAACCATTTTTTTATAACATGTATGCAATTACAAATACTGGACTTATTGTAACACAATCTTAACAATGTATTAAAACATTTCCATAAGAAATTCCATTTTCAATAAACATATATGAATCATAAAAAGCTTTAAATAAATCACCACAATTTTCTATATCAATAGGAATAACCTTATGAAATAAGATTTATTCACTTCCTTAGAATTTAACTGAGCATTTCTATTATACAGTTAATACACATTTAATATTATAGCGAAGATGTAATTTAGTATCTGTTGCAGCATATATATTGCCAATGTAGATTCCACTTCTTCCTTCTTTTGGTAATATGATTGCATGAATGTTATCATCAGGATAAGTATCCCAATAGGTTGAACCATAAAATTTCTGTTATTCAAGTAAGGATAACATTATTTTATAAAATTTATGAATAATAATCATTATTATCGTCCAACATTAACAGGTAATAAGAATAGAAGAAGAGTCCAAGAAACTAATTTTGCAGCTATATTAAAAATGCACTCTAACAAAAATGCTAATTTAAAAAGTTCTTTGCTCTTTCATAGTAACTATAACAAAATAGCTAAAAATATTAGATCCTAAAGATATTGATACATAGTTTAATTTAATTAATAGATCAATTGATGTACCTCGTTTAAATGACAGATCAGCTTCAAAATAAAGGGTAAAAACTGAAATAGTTAAACCAAATATAGATGGTCAATTTTAAAATCAAAAAAATGATTATACTACAGCATATTTTCCAAGATTGAAAGAACGTATAGCTTAATCATAAAAAAAAATATTTTAAGAAGTAATTAAAAATATAAATAGAAAGCCCAAAATGATGAAATTGAAGATTCTCCAATACAAGATTTACAGAAGTCACTTGATTACTCAAATCAAGCATATAAGATAAGAAATCTTACTCCAATATAATAAAGAACTTTAGATATACCAAAATTTCAAAGTAAATCAGATCATTTGAATTAAGAAGAAATTATGCAATTCTCTTTTGGACTTCAATATAATAGGTAGAGTATTGAGAAATAAAAACCAAGATTTCCAAAAGATATTTTTCTTGGGGATGTTAGAAAAGTAAAAAGAATTTTTTAATAATAATGAATTATGCAAAATCTTAATAATCATTCATTATATTTGTATAATATTCTTTACTTGTAAAGTATCAGCATTTATTTGTATAAATTCAATTTTTTTCTCTTCTGAATTAAATAAATAAATCTATTATTTAAAGATCTAAAAGTTATATATAAATATTTTACTATTGGCTATGTGCAGTTTACATTTAATATTTTTTAAATATTATTATAATTATTTTTTTATACTGTTTTTAAGAGAATATTGATCAACTAAGAACCACATTCATTTCCAAATTGATTTTATCCACCCATTACTAATATTTCTTAATTAGAAATTGGTAAAGCATAACCAAGTAATTAAGGAACATAGGACTAATTAATATGAGTAATAAATACTAATTAATTAATCAATTCAAAAGATTCAACAAATTTCATAAGTATAGAATCATATATCTCAATTAATCCATTTGCAACATATTAATTCATCATTCCACCAATTAAATAAATTTTATGATCTAATAAACAACATTATCCTTATATTCTTGGATATTTCATTGATTCAATCTATTCCCATTTATCATATTCTATTGAATATCTACATAAAATTATAGTATACATGAATCCTTTTTTGCTGCCTAATTATAAATTCTCCAATTATATATAACCACCCCAATAATATATTGATTTACCATATTTAAGTGCTTATCCTCCATAAGATTTATATGGTAAATCTTATAATTTTTATAATTTATTATTGACTTTATCATATTTATTAAATGAATTAGTTATTATTTTTGATGAACTCTCAGAATCTTGAAATACTTAACCTATAAAATATAAATATTAATTTGTATTAATGATTGTAACATAATCTAATTTAGATTAATTTTAAGATAGTATTAATTATTATTCTACTACTTTATCTATTTAATCTATATTAGATGAATAAAGTATATTATTTCTAAATGAATGAATAGTATTTTGTATTTCTTACAATTTGAATTTATTAGCTGTATTTTTTAAAGTTACTAAATTCTTTTTTTATTATTTGAATCCACTAAAGTAATTAGGAATAATTTTAAATTCATCTTAAAATAAAAAATATATAAAATACCTTTAAATTTTAAAGATATCAATTTTTATAATGAATCTTTAATGTCATACAATGATTTATTATTAATTTAGAGAGTAATATCTTTAGGTAAGTTATTTTTGATTAAATTAAATTCTTCATTTATAATATTTTATCTATCTAATACTTCTTATAATTAAGATTCATCATAATTATGTAATTCATTTCTCAGATTAAATATTAATCTTTTAAGTGGCTACAATGATATTTATAATAAATCATCTGTAATAACTTAATATTATTAGATTAGATTAATGAAATATTTATCAATCACTTATGAAATAACTTTTTTTATTGATTTGATCTTTTAGA